TTTTTAAGACATAAAAATAAAATTTAAGAGCATACAAGGCAAGTTCCTCTCTCTGTTTCCAGTAATTGCCTTTCAAGATGCCGGCAAAGCAAGCTATTGCACCATCCTTCTGCTTAATGACCATCACCACAGGTATGACAGAAGATTTTTTTGGGGTTGCTGTGGGGGTTTTTTATTAAACATTACAGGACTATCAGTGGTATGTCAGGGATCTGCAGGAAGAGATGCTCCATAGTTGGAAGTGTTCTCTGGGTAGATCTAAGACATCAGAAACAACACTTGTTGCCTCAGGATGAGCTGATTCTGTTTTACTCTGATATACAATGAGAAAGACAGGGAGGTTTTCTTAGGAAACATCAGTGTGATGTTCTCACATACTTTGGATGCGGGTCCCAGGATGTAATAAACACTCAAGCTGGCAGACAGCAACCAACCACTGAGAGGTGTGAAAAGGTTGCTTCATTCAGGAGGCTTTTGGTTTTGGTTTTAAATAATTAATGTAAATTTTGGAGATTATTGTGCTATCTGCAGTGACACCCAGTGGTGATGAGGCAGTAGTGTATCTCAGACCCTGTTGCCTCAAAAAAAAAGTCCTGTGACTTCTTGTTGCCTGCAGTCATTAGCAGGCAGAAATACAGAGCTGAAAGACAGTTTTCCTGGTAATGAGTATCATTCCTTATAGGATATGTGGAGACAAGTTTTTTGCTGTCATTGTTATAATTAAGCCATTATTATTCATACAGTTAATATTTCTAAAAGTGATTTCGTATGCATGCTGCCTGGCTTTAGTAGAAAATAAAAAAATGTGAGATACTAGTTATAAATTGCATATGAATATATAATAATTTAGTTTAAAATGTAAGGAGAACCCCTATATCATTCCAAGACAAATGCATTATATATAAAAAAGGACCTAGTAACTTGTTAACAACTGTATCATCATAGAATCATAGAATAGTTTGGGTTGGAAGGGACCTTTAAAGGTCATCTAGTCCAAGCCCCCTGCAGTGAGCAGGGACATCTTCGACTAGATCAGGTTGCTCAGCCCCTTGTCCAACCCAGTATCGAATGTTTCCAGGGATGAGACATCTACCACCTCTCTGGGGAACCTGTCCCAGTGTTTCACCACCCCCATTGTAAAAAATTTCCTCCTTAAATCTAGTCTGAATCTACCCTCTTGTAGTTTAAAACCATTGCCCCTTGTCCTACTGCAACAGGCCTTGCCAAAAAGTTTGTCCCCATCTTTCTTATAAGCCCCCTTTCAGTATTGAAAGGCTGCAACAAGTTGTCCCCAGATCTTTCTTCTCCGGGATAAACAATCCTGAATTTATATTTTGAGTAAGTTGCATGGGTTTTCTTCTGTTATGGAGCAGAGTACCAAAAGTGTGTTCTCAAGGACAGACTGTTTCTATGGGATTTACCAGCATCACTGTTTGACTTGCCTTTTTTTCTTTTACCAAAATGAGATTTGAAATATGCACTCTCAGAGGTTGTTGTGGGGAGAGGGCAGACTGACTGCATTCTACATAAGAATTTGCTCAACCAGAAGGGAATACTTGACCTGGTAAAAATCAGGCGGCATGAATTGCCACCCCAGTTTCAGCTTGGGTCTTTATTTTCTTCATCCTTTCATTGCTTAGCATCAAATTTTTGTTTTTGTTTTTGTTTTTTTTAAATATGTGTATTTTTTAGTTTAGTTTTTTGCTATAAAAGCAAAGAGTAAAAAATGTTAAGGTGTCTCATACGTCATATTTATTATTAATTTATGAAAGGTTTGTGGTTCTGGTGGCTTTTCAAATCAGCAAAATACTAAAGTTAGGCCTTTTAAAAGCCTTTTGGACATAATTTAATTGGTGATCCAGTTAGTCACGCAAATATGTTTATCTTCAGGTGAAAACACAGGCATGTGCTTTACAGCTTAACTTGGAAACTGCTGCCACACTTGGCATGAAGGCCTTCCCCAGGGAAGTGATGAGCTGTTCCCATCAGTTAGTATATTCAAAACTGTGTACCACTTTAATGCAAGTATTTTTACCCAGCCTTTCACCACTGGTCTCTGTGAAGGTCTCCGTATTTAACATACTTCCTTTTCCTTTTGGAAAAAAACAGTTGTCTCCCTCACATTTCAGAAGTTTGTTGGGCAGTATGTCTTCCTAAATTGTTTTTTTTTCAAAAGGTATGTTAGGAGAAAAACATATCAGGCCATATCCTGCAGCCCAAGAGAGGTAAGGTTGCTGCAGCTCCATGTCCCCAGGTCCAACCAGTAAGCATGGCTGATGTGTTCTTAGCAGACTCACACACACATCTGCACCATGTATATACACATACGTATGACCGTGTTTGTAATCCCACGGTGATAACATAGACACTCGCACACGAACACAGCATCAACGGCCTCATCCTGCTCCTCTCTCTGAGCAGGATGGGGGTCCACGGGTGGGAACACACACACACGTATACAGACACTCAGCCTGCCCGCGGATCCCAGTCTCCCCCATTGCTGACACACGAGCCCTTGAGGCCACAGCCCCACTCCAGTTGCTGGTACAAACTCTCTCACTTATGTAGGACACACGCAGGCGGGGAGCTGACCAGGACTCTCCCGGTCCCCCCGTGGCCTTGCCTGTAGACATCCCATCCCCACTGGCTCTGAGGCCACTTCACCTCCTGCCAGGCCAGGTCCTCACTGGTGCTCACACATCCTCACCCGCTCCAGGTGCTGCACCACAGGCGCAGGGCTCTGCCCCTTGGTCCCACCTCTGGGGCTGGCCCTTGGTGTCACCCACCTGGGTCTCCCCAGTCACTGGCACGCCGGTCTTCCAGCCCACGGTCCCAGCCCAGCTGCTGGCACCTAAATCTGCTCTGCTCCAGGTGCTGATGCCACAGGCGCACGGGCCACTGTGACCCAAGCTGCTGCTCCCACTGCTGGCCCCTAAATCAGGTCACTCCAGTCACTGCCCCACGGAGACACAAGTGCTCTGACCTGTGGTCTGACTCCAGTTGGTGATACTCAGTCCCACACGCTGAACAGAGCCCCCCACTCAGGAACAGTTAAACCAGAAGTTATTAAGAAGTCAGGACAGACTGTGCTGGGCAGACTCAGGGCATGGCCAGACGAGCCTACTGACCAACAAATTACTTATGTGACCAACCCTTTTTAATCCCTTACACTTCTGTTTTCCCCAGAGTTGTTCCCAAATTACCTAAATCCATCCCTTTCCCTGCCTTTGGTTCTTTCTCTAAACATCCCATAATAAATCCTGTGCAATCCCCAAATGTTTTCCCCCTGCACCCATGACGTGTCCCACCGTTACATGAAAGGTGGTCCTGCATTGACTTACCCTGATGGGTTTCATACGTAGATCCTGGGGCTGAGGCTCTCCTGGGAGGAGCCCAGGAGTCCTTAATTCCAGTTCCTGCCTGCACTTGTGCTCGGGTGCAAGTCTGGGCCTGTGGAGATGAGCCACTGCCCGGGAGTAGCCCTGCAGGGCAGGGTATTGCCTAGGCTTCCCCTCCAGCTCTTGTCTTTCTGTGCACCTTTGTGGGTGTGTAGACAAGCTTTTATCGCGTAACCCAGCAATAAAAAAGATAGTTCAACTGCACCTTTACCAGTGGGGCCTGTTGTAAAGGTGACACTTGCTTTCTGCCAGGTGTTTTGCATAGATTACCTGTTCCTTTCTCCTTTAGCTTCACTCAACCTAAGGCAGCTTCCTCTTTCTCATTACATTGTGCAATCCCTCCCTTCACCTTGCTTTAATCTTCAATTTTCTGTGATTTATCCAGTCAAAACCTGCAACAATGATTAACTGGCATTTGTGCCTCTATACTATGGCCTTCATCTATTTCTGTGCAATCCTCACACACTGACCCTCACCCCACAAGACAACCATTTAAGTTCTCCTAATTTTCCTCGTGTCTTTCCAAAACGTTTACCGCATTACAAACTTGCATCCCACTACCTCGGCGCCGAATTCAACCTTTCGACTAGATCACATTTTTCCACTTGGCATGAGCTTAGCTCACCAGCCCTACTCAGACCTCCTGGCCAAACTGAGTAAGCATTCAAGGACGTTCTCACCTCCCCCTCTCCCTTCTCCAACAGGCCCCGTCTCTACAGACAGGTCCCACCAACTGGAGCACAGAAGCTTTCCTGGCACTGTGAAGGAATTTACTGACTTGGAGTGAAAGGCAGCTCTTGGCCTGAAAGGAAAGGACTGGCAGGACTGTTACCCCCTTTCCCTAAGCCCTACCTCTACATCTTCCCAAATGACTGCTTACTCATTATAGCTTAGCTTTGATTTTGTTTTGTTCCATTTTAAAGACTATTGGAAAAGTTGTAGAATTACTTTTCCTTTAAAAGTCCAAGAAGGATCAAGACCAGAACCTATTAAATCTAAGGGAAGAGCAAACTCTGTGACAGGACTTTTTCACCGCAAAATAACTAAGAATTCAAGGAACATTCCTATTCCCAACTACTTTGAAGGAGATTAACAGAAGTCCTGTCAGTCATTTACAACATGGAACTGTGCAGCTGTTTGTTCTAATTCATAACCTACATGAAGAAACGTACATATAGGCTTCTGTAAACAGTATTTTTAGGTACATTTAACAGGGGCCTATTTGGTTTTTCAACAGAAGTGTGGGTAATTAATCTGCCTGGAACTGAACCTAACAGTTCACTAACCCGCTCTCACAAAACGTTTCTACAAGAGAGACAAGATTCCTCCTACCCAGCAGTCAGTCACCATAGCACTCACCCACAGTGCTTAAAACTGACTCTCCTGCATAACTTTCGAACCTGCGTTTCCCATGTCTCAATCACTATTCTTATCACCTGGCTATATGGTACACAATGCTTTAAAGCAGCTTCTTTTCAGCTTCAGGTGGTAAGGCAGATGGGGAAGAAAAGTAACTTTTTGAGAAAAAGGGACATAATTAAAGTTGAAATTAATTTGTAAAAGCTATGAGATCCCAAACAAATAATACACAGGAAAGCATGATACAATTTAGAAAACAGTATTTAATTTAAGAAAACCTCAAATGCTTCTGAAAGTGAACATCAATTTGCTAACATTCCTTAGGCTTCACAATTTAAAGAGTTTTAAGTCTTGTTTTACAAGCACCCTGTAGTAATTTATTGTTCTGTCTTCCTCTCATCTTAAAAAGACTGCCACAAGCGGAAATATCAACAAAAATGTTTTACAATTTTGTAAAAGCCTGTTCCACAGTATTCAGTCATGAAATATACATTTCCTATTTGTCAACGTATTTTTAGCTAAAGTCTTGTAATTAACTCAAATTGATATTAGAGTTAAGAAGTGAAATTTCTCCAGTACCACAAATCTAGGCTTCCACACAGATTAAATGTGGCATGCATATAGAACAAAGGAAACCCACTCTTATTTATGGCCCAAAAGAGGAAAGCAGACTATTCAGAATGTAGAATTCCTTTTGCACTGATTCTTACAGACCAAAACATGCCCCAGCAACTCCCTTCTCTTAGGGACCCGCAGAAAAATAAATTTTGGAAAAGTGGTCCCTTATGTCACTCAGCTTCAAGGTCAGAATACAAAATTTATTTTGAAACAGCTACCGTGTTGATATGATTGCTGTACCTAATACTCCCTACAAAAAGTTATAAAATGATCAGGAAAAAATTGACTGTATTCTAAAGATGCTTCCTAATTGTATATAAAAAATTAAATGGCTGTTTCCCACCATATATGCCCTAAGTTATAAAAACTGTTTAGGTTATTTATAACCTAAACTTTAAGAACTTGAGTTAAGAAGAAATGTTTGACAACACTACTATCATATTACCATCATTAGTAAGCATATCACATTCTGAATCTTCTTCTTATTGGCAAAGATATGAAACCAAACTAGTTACAAGAACTGTTTTTTTTTACTCTGCCCCATCAGCAAAGTGAAATGTAGCACCACATAGATCTGACAAGTGATTTCATCCTTCTTCAGCTTCCTCTTCCTAATTTTAAGATACTCAGAGGACTGCTTTCAGATGTGCCTGTGCTTCAGCTAAGCAAGTTTGTGTTTCTAACATAGCCATACTATGTTTTACTTCTAATAATGGACATATCTACCTTTGAGACAGTTCATTATGCCACACACAGTAGTGAACCGTAATTCAGATTTAAAAGTGGTATTCCATACTAACATTGCGTATAGATTGCAGATAAAAACATGAATGGAGAAATTCTTTTAGGAAGGGAAGTAAAATTCTTTGGTAAGCATAGAGACAATGCATGGAATCTGTTTCTTTGCATTAAAATCCTGCCGAGTTGAGCAAGACTCATACTCTGCCACTCTGCGATTTACACGAGTTAAAATCTGCATGAGTTCAAGCTTCCTTGCATGTTCCTTCAGCGTTTTACACAGTGACTGAATAAACCAGGAACCTTCAGCTGAATTCCTCCAGGAGTAATAGCCTGTGGAAGAAAGAGATGTCAAATTGATCAGATGTAGCAACCTCTGATATATGACAGGAGAGCAATTAGGGGAACAACGCATTGTTTCCAAGAGCAATCAATGTTTTAAAATAAAAACTCAAAACCACTAGCCAACAAAATTTAGATTTTATTATCTCCCCAAATTCCAACGTAAAAGATTTTTCTAATCCTCTTATTTTTTCTAATCTAAGAAAACTTCAAGTAGATAGAAAATCAAAAGGCAGGAAAACGATCTGCTGCTGCAACAGTCTTTGCCATTAACCACTTGACCATGTCTCTATAGGGTACGTGTATACAAAGGAGAGGTGACAGAACAGATGGAGCCCAGATGCAAAATGGTTTTCAGTGTCACTGTCTTCAGGAATACGACCATGAATTAAAGACTGGAATCTACTGCTGCTGATAACGTAAAGGGCATGCTCAGGTCTCTACAACTACTAATTTTGCTTAAGGGTGCAATAAAAATAGAGTTGATAGGCAAATAACATGGTGGTGCTTATTACCCACTTCTGCATATGCATCTATAGATACCCGATTGGTTTGTTCTCTCTCAACTAATAATACCTTTTAATTCCTGCTCTAAATTATTTGCACAACGCAGATTAACCAAATTTATAGCATATGAACATCTGAGGTTTTGCAAGTGAGGAAGATGTATACCCAGGGCTTGTTTTGTTTTGTTTTGTTTTGTTTTTTTGTAGGAACTGAGAATAGAAACTGCCTCAAAAAGAAAACAAATCATGGGAGAAAAAACAACTGAGGGAAGAAAATTTGTATTTGCATGAAAAAGAACAAATGAAGTAGTCATCCAATGACTGGATACAACTGCAAATTGTCATTTACAATATCAATACAAGCTGATACATAGATGCAATTTCAGGAACAAAAATGTCTTTGCATGTCTCTCACCTGGAGCTGTAGAATATGCATACAGAAAGTCTGCTTCTACAGGTATTTTTTGGCACATTGATTCTTCTGATCCACTATCTGCCTCAATACCAGAATCTAATTCTGTCCCTCTACAAGCCTATTTAGTGGAAAGAATAGAAAATAAAATAATAATAATAAAAAAAGGCAGCGATCATAATCAGAATACTGATTTTTTTTTTTTTCGATTTTAAAGATGATAATATCCCAATTAAAGTGCAAAAATAACAAGAATTTATATGTCACATTTGCATTAGACAGACTCAGAAGAAAAGTAACTAGCATTTATTTAAATCAACTACATAGTTTGGTTAGGACAGATATTAATTCCAAAGTGCATTCAGAAACTCACTAAAATTTTGACTAGTGTTCAGAAAGATTTAATCCGTAGAATTAAAATAATGCAATCTCAGCTATTACAAATACTGCCTACCTAATAGGGCAGACTGTACCACTTTTAGACCTAAAGATAATCTTATTCTGAAGGTAATTCAATTTAAATCAATTTTAGAAATAATTAACTTTTTTTCACTAATAATTAATGGGAAACAATATTTTTCTTAAGTATCCAGCTGATCTGATGATCACTGCTTAGCTGTACATCACCTGAATGAAAAACAGCTTGGGTTTTCCTGCTAAACTTCTGCACTTGTCACCTCTGAAAAGGCTTGTGAGTGCTTTCAGTTCAAGAGGGCCATCTGTGCCATAGATTAATCCTTCATCACCATGGCTTAGCAACACACAAACAAAACTGCTCCGCTTGCTGTGATCTTCTTCAGAAACTTAAAAGAAAAGAGAGAATTATCTTAACTTCTTGCATACCCTAAAAGCTTTGAATAGTTGATACTTCCTATGTGAGAGAAGTCTTTAAGAACTAATTCCCATGGTTAGAAACCTCCAACCAGTTTTCACTTCTGAACCAAAGCAGCCAGCCTACCTTACTTCAGCAAGCTGGACACAGAAAATCCCAAATTAAAGGCCAACCCTACCCATTCTAAGACACAGCCACAGAACTAGGCCAGGAACACTGTGAGGAGACAGAGGGTGTTCCCACTGTGTCTGAATGGTACACCTCACTCATGCAGTAATGGCCAAGAGTCTCGTGATCTGGGATCAGACCGATGGGAATTTCTGAGTTTTGGGAAAGGATGGGGAAGTCTTGCCTCTTTTGACTTAGAGATGCTTCAACTGCTTGGATTCCATGGGAACTGAATGTAGCCTGAAAGTTGTTGCTGCTGCAGGGACCCAGGTACTAGCACTACCCCTCTCTCTCTCACTCTTGCCCTGTAGCAAGGTCTAGAAAGACTTTTCACACCTCAATTCTGTACTTAAAGATATTTAAGCTTCATATAAAGTGTTTGTAGACTTATTTTTTATTTCCATCTTGTGGTATGCAAAAAGTGTAGAACAGATATTCTCTGATGTCTTCTGTTGCATGACATTGCAGGGATTGTACCTGAAGACCAAGACAATTCTTTAAAATATATGAAAAGATACAAACATGGTTTAAAATAAAGAATCCAAAAGGAGTTCTGAGTGGGAAACTCAAGAATATGCAAGAGTTTGTAGATGAAAAGTGTAACCGTCTCAAAAGCTGAAGTCTTCTGTTTAGAATGTGCCAAAACACTGAATTTCTATCTTGAAAAAAACCAAGCTATTTAGATTTTTCTCAAGCAATGCACACTCAGACATTTCTACAATCTATGGACAAACACTGCACCTAGAAGAGTCAGAAAAGGATGTTTTTTTGCAGTCTGTAGTTTATTTTGAGGCCTTATACCACAGGTAAGAGAGGCCTTTCCACTTTCAGCTACTGTCAACAGATAGGCAGCAATTATGCTAATATATTATCCATGCCTGGGAACATTCTCTGGCATAAACATTATCTGGCACTAAAGAACCTACATCTATGTTAGCAAACACATTAAAAAAAAAGACCAAACAGGATTGCTGCAGGCTAACTGGCTGTTGGGAATAATCCCTGCAACACCTTTACTGTTGAACTGTGACCTGGAATACTCTGCGAGAACGCTAGTAGGCACGGGCCACAGTCATGTCAGAAAACCTTCCAACAATTAACTAGAACAGCCTGTTTTCCAGGGCTACACATACCTCCATGCACCGTTTAATTTACTGGTCTAGACATAGCCAAGTCCAAACAAAGCAGGGCTAACAAAAACAGTAGTATAAAGCTCTCACTTCACAGAAGGATGTTTTGTTTCACAAAGTTGTTTTTCTAAAAGAAATCATAAATACATACACCCTCAGTCCCCACACTTGCAGTTCTGGTCCCTCAACCAGAACTACCCCCCTGGATCAGAACACCTCTTACGCCACACCACTAAACATACAGCCCAGAACCCATCTACCCAATTAAGCAGGTTTCCTTCCAACTCACAGAGCTTCAGTGATCCCAGGGTCAGAATATAAATCAGTCTGCATTTAAGTTTCAGCCTTTTTTCCAACCTTCTTTAGAAGATGAGAAAGGATATGGAGACAACAGTCATGGCACGAAAAGATGGAGAGACAGCAAAGATGAATAAACATAGAAATTACGATGTACATGTCACCCTTAGCAATAAACCACCGGTAGGTGTGAAATATCATCTAAAAGACCAACGGAAGAAGAGATGTGATGGCTAGAGATGTGTTTGGAGACAGCAGTTGATTCAATACACACACCAAACGTTATTACTTACCATTTTTCAATAGTTTTAAAATGTCCTTGCATGCAAGATCATTGTTGATCTTTATTTTATATCCCAACTTCATAAAAACTTCTCTAACACTTGCAGCATCCGCATCTGTACCTGAACGGGGTAACATCCCTATACATGAGAGAAATGTATTATTTTTTGTATGATGTAGATGGCACAGTCTGATTGAGCCAAATCCTTTTCTCACTTACAGCTGTAACAGTCTGGAATACTATACCATTATTCCAGACACACCCTAACAGAAAAAACATTGCACTGTTATACAGGCACACCATCTGTATTTATATTGTAGATTTATCTACTCCTTTTTATATCTACCTATCCATATAATAAAGACATAAAAAAGGAATGCATTTGCAAAACAGAAATCATGACTAAAAGGTAAGATGGACTTTTACTGCCTATCAATTTTTCTCCCCATTACTACTATACCCTAACGTGCTCCCTCTATACGCATATTTGGAAGAATGCACTGAAATGAATCACACCCACTCAAACCATTTAATTTTAGGTTTCAATAAAAATTAGTCTGCATATTTAATTTTGAAGAATAAAACATGCCACTAATTTATCTAAATTGAGGAAAAAAAAATATTTGGAAGTGTTACCGGTCTGTCTGTGGAAGTTCTTATTGTTTATTATTACACATTCCCCCATCTCCGGATAATCCATTCTGTAACTGTAGTCTGGCAGAATTCCAGAGTCCATAGACTTGCTAGCAGGTAGGTTCTTTCTGTATAGAAATCAGACAAATTTTAGGTGTTAATTTCTGATCACTCTTTTCTAGTTTCAAAATAATAATAAGATAAGGTTATTTTAGCAAAACCAATGAAACAGATAAAGTTCGCTACCTGTTCCCTATAAGTTCCCTTCACAAGTTCACCGATGACACCAAGCTGTGTGGTGCAGCCAACACGCCGGAGGGCAGGGATGCCATCCAGAGGGACCCAGACAGGCTTGAGAGGTGGGCCTGGGAAAACCTCATGAAGTTCAACAAGGCCAAGTGCACGGTCCTGCACATGGGTTGGGGCAATCCCAAGCACAAATACAGGCTGGGTGATGAGTGGATTGAGAGAAGCCCTGTGGAGGACTTGGGAGTATTGGTGGATGGAAAACTGACTATGAGCCATCAATGTGCACTTACAGCCCAGAAAGCCAACCATGTCCTGGGCTGCATCAAGAGCAGTGTGGCCAGCAGGTCCAGGGAGGGGATGCTCCCCCTCTACTCTGCTCTGGTGAGACCCCACCGGCAGTGCTGTGTCCAGCTCTGGGGCCCCCAACATAAGAAGGACATGGACCTGCTCGAGCGGGTCCAGAGGAGGCCACGAAGATGACCAGGGGGCTGGAGCATCTCCTCTGTGAGGACAGGCTGAGAGAGTTGGGGGTGTTCAGCCTGGAGAAGAGAAGGCTCCAGGGAGACCTTATAGAAGCCTTCCAGTACTTAAAGGGGGCTACAGGAAAGGTGGGGAGGGACTCTATCAGGTGGTGTAGTGATATAACAAGGGGTAGCATTTTTAAACTGAAAGAACATAGATTTAGATTAGCTATTAGGAAGAAATTTTTTCCTGTGCGGGGGGTAAGGCACTGGCACAGGGTGCCCAGAGCAGCTGTGGCTGCCCCCTCCCTGGAAGGGTTCAAGGCCAGGTTGGACGGGGCTTGGAGCAACCTGGGCTGGGGGAAGGTGTCCCTGCCCATGGCAGGGGGGTCAGAACTAGATGGTCTTTAAGGTCCCTTCCAACCTAAACTGTTCTGTGATTTTAAGTTATGCCTGTGAAATCATTTGGTAGATCTGGTTTAAGGCTAGTGAAGACTACTTGTCTAGAGGTTAAAATAAATAAACCTACTTTGTAGTCATATGTATTTGTAGTAATCTTCTGTGCAACTTGTAAAAAGCTTAAAATTTAAAGAATCAAGGAAGAACTGTGTCTAAAATGATTATGCGTCTGCACAGGAAAATATGAAAAATTAGTTTAAAGAAACCAATTATTATATCAACAAGAAATCAGTTGGGCTTTTTTACTATCATCTTTTGGAAGCTATGTACCTGGAGTCAAGATCAGCTCTGAAATTGTAAATCTGTTTCAAATTCTAACCAAAAGTCATATTACCATTGAATTTTCACAAGTAAACATTCAAACCCTAGAAAGGCCAAGACTCTACATGCAACTGCAATTCTGCCTTAATGAGCACACCAACTACACCACCACTTATGACACTGCAATGGCTGTCAATTTTACTCAGTCCATATATGCTGAAGTCAGTATGGATTTTCTCATTAAGCACATGGGTAAGTGGTTACAAGATTGGGATCTGCTATCATATTCTATTGATAGAAGTTCTGTAATGGTCTTAAATATAATTTTCACTGAAAATGAAATATTAAAAAGAATGACTTCGGAAACAAATTAAGTTCCCAGAGAAAGCATAATCTGATGCTAGTGCTACACCTGCATAACAACTAGCTGGATCCCCAAGTCCTCTGCAGGGCTGCTCTCAATTCACCCCTCGCCCAGCCTGTATTTGTGCTTGGGATTGCCCTGACCCATGTGCACGACCTTGCACGTGGCCTTGTTGAACTTGATGAGTTTTGCACGGGCCCACCTCTCACGCCTGCCCAGGTCCCTTTGGATGGCATCCCTGCCCTCCAGCTGTCACCAGGAAGAACAGGCCTGCATTGCCCCCTTTTCACCCCTCTAAGTTCTCCTTGCACTTGTGCTTCTGCACATACAACCCTACAGCAGGTCAGCCCAAGCAGCTGAACTGACTGCTACAGCTTCAGGTGCTTCAGTCTAGAAGCAGTTCAAGGAAAGGGATGAACATTTAGCCCAGGGTGAGATAGAGAAGTCTCTTTTCAAGAACTGCTAACCACTTGGTAATACTGTTAAGCCAAGTCTTACTGCACCTCAAGTGTTTTGCCTTTTAGTTCTTTGTACAAACAGGTGGCCTGTTCTTTCAGAGACTGTATATTTTCAAACTCAGTACAACAACTCTAGTGGTTGTTTATGATTATTATAATTTACCATAATTGAAACTTTTTGCATTATTTCTTCTATGGCTCTCAGCTTGTGTTACAGCACAAGGTTCCTTAAGACTTAAATTCAAGACTTAAAACAAAAGTACCTCAACTTACCCTTTAGAAGCAGGAATAGATTTTGCATCTGTCTGATCTTCCTCCAAATGTGGTCCATCTCCTATGGCTGCCATTATGGCTCTCTGTTATCAGCTTGAAAATGTAAGAAAATAGAAATACATGAGAGTTAATTTTCATATGAAATAATACCTTCAGACTGCTTAATTTCAAAGCCTTATACAATCAGAAAACAATTTTTTAGTATTATAGAGAAAACAGGAATGTTAAAAGGGGATATTCACACAGAACAACTAGCCTAGGAGTATTAGGCAAAAAATAGCATTTCTGAGTAAACCCTACATATCTTATATTTGAAAGAAGAACATGAAATACTTTTTTAATTATTGTCTTCTAAAGCAACTCTGGGAAAAATAGTCTGCAGATCCCTGTGACTAAATCATTGAAAATGCCTACAAAAAGCAGGATAAGAGACAAATCGAAAACAATCTTTAAAATATTATGTCCCTACATGCATTAGTAGCATTTCAGTATTATAAATATCATGTCATATATGGATTCTTCTATCTGAGTGATACAGAAATTACGATCCAAAACCAAGCAATACAAGTTACTGGATGTGTGCAAAGACTAACACAGAAGATTAGATTTTGGTTCGTAGTATTTTGAGAAATAAACAATTTCTCTGCATTGTTTCAAATGAAACATCACTGCATTAAGTCCTAATTGGTGTATGTGAAGGCAACTACAATACAAGTAACAGAAAACCACAGCAATATAACTTTAAATAGTTGATGAAATGAACTCTATGCTGTGGGCTGCTATTTACTTTTGATCAAAACACAGGACAAGAAATGATGACTGATACCAAGCCAGAAACCAATTTAAAAGCAATAAACCTCCCTCCCAATCACTCTGTGTGTACTCATGGAACACATTACCACTGGCTACCTTTAACTCAGGATTCAGAAAAGGATTAAGCATCATAAAGTTAAATTGCCAGATAGGACAAAGTAATAAATGCTTAGAAGTGAAGTAAGTGCTTTGACCTCAAGAAACAAGCCAGGCACTACAAGGCAAGAATTCTGAAGAAACTTACTTAGCAGATGTATTTATGGTAAGTAGGGATGTATAAATAACTAGACCAAGTAGTAAGATTTGCTGGTCAGATATGATGAAGATTCTTATTTAAGACTTAGTTTCTTTGATGGCAAACTATATTTCAAACTATATATATCATAGGTATACTCTAGCTAGTATACCATGAATAGCCATTTTCTGTGGCAACAATTACTGATGCATTGGAAGCACTAATCTGGGTATGTATAACCCTCTTTCCTTGTTTCTTAAGACATTTACTTACATTTTTAGTGACTTCAAAAGATCTTCAAGGTTACTCTGAATACTATTCTTTGTATCTTGAAGCACTGATGTAATCAAGAAATCTTCTCACTCACAAAATTATTCCAGACTTGAGAACTGTATCATGTAAATTAGCAGCACACCGGAAATTCCCTGAAAACCAAATGACACAAGTATCAAAATAAGCTTGATATTTTAGCAATAGTATTTCTAAAATACATGATTGCTTTATACTTTAGAAATTCACTTTAAAGACAGTATCATGGGTCAGGAACTACATCTATGATGCTGAACTTGTCTGCCTAGCACCATGATCTGGGTTCATTCATCCTACTTTCAAAGTCTAATTCCTTAAAAGTTCCCTACGTGAAAAAAGACAAGCACTTCCAAAGGGTAATTCAAGTACCTAAGACCTGTGGCACAACAGTGATCCAACCCTATGCCTTATCATTGGGCAGGGAGCATTAGCACTGACAACAAAGTCTAGTCTAGAGTAACAACTGGTGTGTCCACCCAGCTGTAGCTGAAAAGCAGAGCTTCTCATCCCTGAGAAGTGGAAAGAATGGCTTTCATCGACAAGAATGCTAGAAGTGCCACTGCTCCAGCAGAGCCCAGCTTCCAGGAGTTTTTATGCCTCTTTCAACCCTGTCCCTACCACAGTCATCCCTGGCTTTGGTTCCCAGCTTTCCTGACCTCTCAGCCTGACAGTTTTGTTTAAAACTTTAGTTGTAGGAAAACATTCAACCAGACTGACCCACAACTCTAATGCAACTCATGCTGTTCCTTCTTTTGGAGAAGCACTACGTGCAGAAGCACAACCCAAACCCTTCACTGTGGCTAGGATTAATAGGAGAGACAGGGAAAAGGTTAGCTTTCTACCTTGTTTGTTCTTTGCCAGCAGTAATGAAGAATCACACTATATTAAAAAAGCACAATATCACATACCAACTCCATCATCGAAACCAGCTGGTAGGTGTACTGAGAGCAGTGTGGCCATGTCAGCATGTAATTCAACTTCTGCTAAAAGTCCAGGTGTCTATCCCAGCTGTCTTGCACTGTGAAGATCTGCACTGCTAGAGCTGCAAGTACATGAACCAGCTGGTGTAAACTAGTAAATATTTGCCTACATGAGCTGTGGTCACTTTCTGTCTACGATATGAGTCAGCCTGGGCTGCCAATAACTACCTAGAGAAGGACTCTGCTAAAATATTGGGAAAGCTAACAACTCTGGCCAAAGGATAAGATCTTGGAATCATTAGGGAGGGTAAGTGGATCATTAGGCTGCCTTGGGTTCATATCGGGCATGCTCCAACCAAACTTGCATCCCATTAAGGACTGGTTTTAGCAAGCTGGTGGAAATAACACTGGTGAACAGCAGCAATCTTAAGTAGGCAAATTGGAGACCTAACAGATTTGGACCACTGAATGCTTCTATAACACAAATGTTAAAGCATGCTGCAAACAATAAGATCAGATCTTCAACGTTTAAGTGACTTTAAATTAAGACTTATCTCCTCAACCCTTTTGCAACCTTAAAACTTGAAAAATGCTGTCCTTGATCCAATGCCAAAGAAACAATGACATCTGCAGTAGCACCTAGCAAAACCTACAATTGCAATGAACTACAGTACTTTGTTTCTGAAAAATGTAAAACACATTTTGCAATACCATATCATAAAAATATTTCTTACTAGAGCCTTTGCAAGCCTAGCTCACAGCCTGCAGTTTCAACTGTTTAATGAAGTGTTAGAGCTTGCTGTATTGTACTGCATCAGCACTGGAGCTTGTCTAAGTCTTTACAGAAGCTAGACAGATAGTGAAGAAAACTGGGATATAATACATTAGGCATTGAAAATACACATGCTTTCTCTTCAGAATAGAATTTGTAACTCACCTTTAATATCCATCAGTTTCTGAGCACCTTAATGCACCAAGTCACCCGCATCTCTTTAAAGAACAGACACCTACAAAGAGCTATCTGTTTTGTTGCTAGGCTCTCAAGTGCATGCTTTAATCAGCAGTATGTTTTCTGCTTTAAAGCACTGGTCAGGATAACAGTAACGCTCTCTGGAGGACAGTGCTGATTCTAACAGACTACTAAGAATTGCCTCATCTTGGTTTAGGTAATGCAATGATGTCATGTGCTGTCAAGCAGAATACACATGTCAAGCAGAATACATTCCCTGTAGAGGATGATCTCATGCTGTTAGGGATGTGGGGAAAAAAAAAAAAATCAGGACAATGCAGTAAGAGTTTAATTAAAAATTGTTAATCTGCTCCTTGATATTATTTTCTCTGAAAGGTTAAGTAAGATGAGCTTTCAACTGTAAGGAAACCTAAAAACCAAACAGCTGAAATGAGCAAGAGCATTTTTCTAATCTATGTTCTGTAGGTTTTAGGAAGTTTATTTTACAATATTTTATCTGAAAAAAAATATAAAGTTTTTAAAAAACCCTATGAGACAAATATAGCAAATATAATGCTATAATGATCCTTGCAGGTACTAACTAGTAAAAATTAAAGTGGTTCAAAAAGGTCCAAAACTATGCTCAGCAAGTGTTGTTCCGATGCTTTTCTTCTGATAGGGAAATTATAAATAAAACAATGTTTTAACTCCATTTCAGCCTGGATTTACTTATTCTACCTGGACCTGGTGAAAATAAATTCACACCATCGTATATCACCACTGCCTTAAGAACCATCAGGTTTCTTTTTAAAGCAGTATTTATTTGAATTGCAAACCAACAATAGAAATTAATGATATAGCGATAAAAATAATACCGAAGTTTCTCAAACAGGGAAGGAAGCAAATAACTGAACTGTCTCTAGTTACCAACTGTACCTTGAAATATGCAAACTACAGGAGACAAGACAACACATGTTCAGTATATGTCAGCTGCTACAAAGCAATGATTGTAGCAGAATTAAAATACATGTCCAAAACAGAAACCAGTATTGTAAAGCATGTCCTTAAATATTACAAGAGGGCAGTTTTCTACCTCACGTGACTGCAAGAGAAAATGTCAAGCGTTCAAAGAAGGTATTCTATATACATGGCATACTGCTATACTAATGCACACATGCAAATGAAGAATTTTCCATTCTACGGTGTATAATGATAACCAATAATTAGATAATTAGTAACAGAAGGAAAATCTAGAAGCTGACTGTATGAAAAAAATAAAAACATTCGAAATACACCATTATGTTTTCCGTGTGGCTTTATTGCCCTGTTAAATACTGCTACCACTGATGGAAGCTTGACAATACTGTGACAGCCCTTCACATTACTTCTGGTCTGGATGTGGCTGTTTTGGAAAGCACTGATACTGGGCCAGCACTCTGATGTTCCGAAAGCAAACAGACTTTTAGTTAGTCAGCATTAATCTGCCAAGTCAGCAAGACCTGAATTTATTCTGAGAGTAGATGCGACCCTTCCTCATTCCCTCACCTATACCTAGTAACCCCACCACCACTGCAACAAATAGGAGCCTGACGAGGCTATTAAGGGCAAGGTGTGTAATTTTCAAACCTACCAGCTGACAAGAAGAGAATTACCAGCTAGAGGTTAGAAAACGAGATTACCAGCAACATCCTTCAACCTAGCAGGGAACAGACTGACAACGCCTTGGACAGGGCCTTCTACCCTCTGTAAAAAGTTAGTCACAGCACCTGTGAGGGCCTCGAGTCTGCTTTCCCCGGCACTGGCAGGGGCAGTACAATAGAGGCGAGTGGCCCTGCCATCGCCCCTGTGACCCCCACCCCGGGATGATGCCCCCCAGCCATCCCACACTCACCCTTTGTCAGCCACCGAGTCGCCAAAGAACCGCTTTCAAGGTGAGGTTTAACCCACTGTATCCAAAGCTGTATTTTGGTAGATCCAAACGCAGTTTAAGGCCCGATGTTTCCAGTTAACTAACACTCACCGGAAAGCAGTTCAAGATTAAAGCCCCCCCCCTTTTTTTTTTTTTCTTTCCTTTTCCTGTTTCTTTTGTTTAGTCAGCTTCTCCACAAACCCAGGCTTAAATTACCGAACAGTCTGCCTTAAGCTTCTGGGTAGCTAAGGTAATTCACAGGCTAAGGCTCCCCCACCCCCACTCCCCCCCGCGCTCTCCCTCCGGGGCGGGGGAAGCGGCGGGAGCTGCCAGGGCACCGCGGCCGGTCTCCTCCCGCCGCGCCCGGAGCGGTGACACCCGCCCCCAGCAACCCACCGCCCCGCCGCCGCCGGGACCCCCCGGAACCCCGCGGGCAGGCGGCGATCTGCGCCCCCACGCCCCTCCCGGCCCAGGTGTGGGGAGGCTCCCGCAGCCCTCAGCCGGCTCCATGCGGGAGAAGCGCGGGCAGACACCCCCTTCGGACCGCGGCCCCGCAGCTCGGTCCCGGGCGGGCGCCAGCCAGCCTCACCCCACCCCCCTCCATCGCTTTGTTCGGCCCCGCCGCCTCCCCCACAGCCCAGCAACCCGCCTACCGCCCGCCCCCCTTCGCCGTTCCACCGGCGCCGCGCTCCGACCTGCCTTCCCCGGGGCTCGGCCGGGCGCGGAGGGGCAGCCGCCGGTGCAGGCGGTCGCCGGGCGGCCCCTCTGGCTCCTCCCCCGCGTGGCGCGGCGGGCCCCGCCCCAACGGCACGTAGTTCAAACGCCAACGGCGGCAGCGCGCGGGTGGTGGCGGTGAGTTGGTGCTGGCGTGGGTTACTGTCCCCCTATTCCCTCGCCCCGCGGGTGTTTCCCGCCGCGCGAGGTGGCTCCCGGCCCTGAGGGGAGGCGGCGCGAGGCCGAGCCCCACGCCGCGGCTGAGGAGACGCGCGGGGCGGCCGCCTGCCCCCACTCCCGCGCGCGGCCGTGCCGTTACCGCCAACCCCCCTTCCCCCCGCCCCATTCCTAGCGCGGGCCTTGCCCTCAGGTGGGGGAAACACGACCGCCCGCGCCTTTCGGCTAGCGTGGCGTCCCGGTTCCCCCCCCTACTACGCGCGGGGTGGGAGGGTGCCCACGCGAACCTTGCGTGGGTTTGTGCTCTGAGCCTGTTGGAGCCGCCCCAGAGCGGCGCGTCGGGCTCCGCTTGGCGCGGTTCGGCTTCACTTGGTGTAACCCAAACCCTGTTGCTTTTTGCCTGCTGTTTTAGTTCCTCTGTGTGCTGAAAAACAAAACAAAACCAAAACAAAGTACCTTTCTGACAGAATAGTGGTTTATAAAAATAATCGCCATTTTAAGTAATTTGTGGGAATGATTACCAAATGAGAGGCTGTCTTTCAGATTTAGCCTCTGGTAGCAGGAGTCAGAGTAAGCTTGGCGTTAGCAACTTAAGTTTTCCAGCTTCTCACAACAGTCACTAGCCTACTTTTTGAGGTCTTATCGCCAGGCCTAATATCCTGCATTTTGCATAAGATTTCTCAAATCTTAATTGTAGAAGAATCTTAATTGTAGAAGCTACTTTTCTTGTTAGGAGCTCAAGATCCAGGTCTGACGCTTCTTGTGGTTGCTGAGGGAAGATGAGGAGTGTTTGTCATTATGACACAGTTCAGCTCAACATGAGGATAACTAAGCTAATTTTCATTAACATTAAGAAATTTAGCATTAGGGAGTGTAAGAAACTATGAACTAGGATATTGTTTACAACAGAAACAGCTGTCCGGACTGCTGAGCGTGGATGGACTCATGCCAGTCGCATTAAAGGCCCAGTGACGAGACCCCACTGGAAAGTAATCAGTACTCCAGGTGACACCTGGAGATAACCCTGAAAAGATAACGTAATGATAGAGACTTTATTTGATTATTTTGCTGCGTTACCTTTTGGTATAAAGTGTGTATTGTTGTTTATATTCGCAATAATTATTTATTTGTTTATTTATTACATATGGAAGCGTACAAAGTGTGTTGAAGGAAATTGCTAAACTTATGCAACCACACAATATTGAATATAGAAGATATGCTGATGTAAATAATATATGCACTCTAGATATACGAATTAGGTGTAATGATTTGAACTGCAATTGTTATCCATTTGCTTGTTTTAGGTGTAAGGTATGCCAGGATAAATGGTGGACACACTGTGAATGTGGATACCCTCCAATAGGAGTTTGCACACAGTGTTGGAGAATCCAAAGAACTCTCACTGAGTGGAAATTAAAACAATTAGAGTCTAAACACCAAAGGAATAAACCCTCAATATTATTGTTACCATTCCAACGAACCAGTCCCCTTTGTAGCTGAAATCCTGGTTATAAAGTGCAGAAGGGAAGTGCTAACTGTGTCTTGCTTTGTCCCATTAGTTAAAGCTACAAAGTGGGAAGCCTATGTAAACAGGCAGAAAGCCCGGAGCAGCTGTTCTCCTGAAAAATTCCCTTGCTGCCGAGAAGATGGTACACCCCGTGGCTCGAAGCAACCGAGTCAACGGGCGAGGCAGAGGAGGAATAAACTGTGGAGAAAAGAACCAGAACAACGGGACGCAAAAGCAGCAATGGCCGAACTTCCCCAGGACTGGTAAAAATATACTTAAATTGGCAAAATTGACAGACACCCTTTTTCCTGGTATACCGTTAGTTTTGTTATTGATAATAACCCAAGCAAATGGAAACCCTCATGAACCTATGAACTGGACAATAACGAACATAAAATATCCAAATAATCCAATCCAAGCACGAACTACACCGGGCACAGTTAGTTTCAATGTAAGTTTGCATAATCTAATTACTGAAGAAGATCGTAGAGATGTAGCGGATATATGCAAACCAATTTATGTATGTCCAGCATCAAACCCTGGTAAAGGATACTGTAATTCTCCAGGTCATTATTGTTGTGCATATTGGGGGTGCGAAACATGGGCCTCTGAGTGGTCCGTACCTGGAGACCAATATCTAGAAATAAAGTGGTCACCAGAAGGATGTAAGAGACCTAAATTAAACGGAGATCGATGGGGTCATTGCTTAAGTCAACCGATTCCTTGTGTGGGCATCAATATAACTATAAAAAATCCTGCTCAGGACTTTTGGCTGGCAGGGAAATATTGGGGAATTAGATATTGGGAAACAGGTGCAGACAGAGGAGGAATTTTTCAAATAATGAAGAAACCGATGCCCCACGATCCCTTACCGGTAGGACCAAACCTGGTCCTGAATCCACCCACTCTTTCTAAAGAAAAGGTTGCCCCCGTAATTGTTGTAACCCCTTCTCCAGATTCCCTTTCGGAAACAACTAATGACATTGTGACTAAATGTTCCTTATCCAGGGAACTAGAGTTGCCAGAATCCCAAGACCCTTTATGGAACCTAATGCAAGCCTCTTATCGTGCCCTTAATGAAAGCAAACCAAATTTAACTGCAGAATGTTGGTTATGTTATAATGTTAGACCACCATATTTTGAGGCAATTGGAAAACCAGGTAGGATTCAATGGTCTAATGGTTCAAATCCACGAGAATGTCCATGGGATGACCAGAGAAACCATACGCAAGGAATTACTATTCGATCAATAACAGGTCAAGGAAAATGTATAGGTACAGTGCCCGAAAAGTATCAGTCTTTATGCAACCGAACAGTCACTAACACCAATATAGAGAAACACAAGAATCAAAATGACAAGTGGGCTATCCCGCCATCAGGAGCTAAGTGGGTTTGTTCAGACATCGGAGTAACGCCTTGCCTATCCCTAAATGTGTTTAATCAATCTCAATTTTGCGTACAGGTGATTATTGTTCCTCGTCTGATCTATCACACCTCTGAGGAGGTGCTACGCCACTTTGAAGGAGACCTGAATAGACAAAAACGAGAGCCAGTTACAGTAGTAACCCTAGCTACACTGCTGATAGCGGGCAGAGTTGGAGCAGGTACAGGCATAGCATCCCTAGTAAAAGGTCAGGAATTACAAAGTTTGCAGATGGCTGTAGATGAAGATTTAGCAAAAATAGAACAATCTATTCAAAGTTTAGCCACTTCAGTAAAGTCTTTATCAGAAGTAGTGTTGCAAAATAGAAGAGGATTAGACCTATTGTTCTTGAAGGAAGGAGGGTTATGTGTAGCTCTCAATGAAGAATGTTGTTCTTTTGCTGACCATACGGGAGTAGTCCAAGACACCATGTCTGAACTTCAGAAAAGGTTAGATCATCGTAAAAAAGATCGTGAGGTGGGCAGATCATGGTATGAAAACTGGTTTAACGTTTCACCTTGGCTAACCACTTTGTTGTCTGCTTTAGCAGGACCGCTTATTATGTTGATTCTGGGGCTTATATTTGGACCATGCATATTACGCTATATTTTACATTTTATTAAGGAGCGGTTTGACATAGCTAAACTGCTTATTCTAACTACGGGGTCTGAGACAGATTATAAAAGTGTATCTACTAATGAAGATGAAGATGATGAAGATTGTTGTGAGTGCGTTATGCCACGTGAAAACTATGATTGTAATTGTAAGGTATTATCTTGTGAGTGTTATGATAAATGTTGGGATTGTGGAAAAAGGTTTGCTTGCAGTGCCGAAAATGAAAGTAGCGTCTAATAAACAATAATAGGATAAAAGAAAAAGGGGGGATTGTAAGAAACTATGAACTAGGGTATTGTTTATTGAAATTTATGTTAAGCTCAATGTAAAGGTTAGGCAACAAAAGACAGAAAATCGCTTATGCAAACAGCAGCCAGACACCGCTTGTGTGAGTTAAGATAACCACAATTGCTTACACAAACCAGATACCGCTTGTGCTAGCAGAAGAGGTACTGCTCAAAGATAACCAGGGTGTTCTGAGGAACTGGCAGAGGTAGGACGAACGAACGAACAACTCCTTATAAGGACATATGAGTGAGGGATCAACTATGGAACAAAGGAGGAAGACTTCTTACTCAACAACCACTGGAAGGCAGAAAACGACCCCCCTAACAACAACTGAAGCATGCGCAGAGTGCCTCCACTACTTCACGGCCACGGATGTAAAGATGTGTAAAAAGGGACTGTTTGAACTGATCAGTGCAGCAGTTGGCGGAGCGCAGACTCCCCTGCCGTCCAGCGCTGTCTTTGCTCATATTCTACTTGCTATAATTAATAACATTATAATTGGATTATGATCCATTGTGGTCTCAATTTATAACAGGAGGAAGTTACTAAATATGTTCTTCTAAGGCTGAATCAGCAGTTGGGAGAAAATCTCATGGATTTATTAGTGTTGAGGTGCATGAATTCTGTTATAGAGCTATGTTGCATGACACACACAGACCAGGAAACAAATGTAATCATCTTACTTTGGCCAGCGATTGATTTGCATGTCTAGGCTTTATTTCTCAGCAGGTGTGGATAGTGTGTTTTGTCATAATTGTTACAGATTTTTTATAGGCTAATAGAATGGTTTAGGTTGGAAGGGACCTTAAAGACCATCCAGTTCCAACCCCCCTGCCATGGGCAGGGACACCTTCCCCCAGCCCAGGTTGCTCCCAGCCCCGTCCAACCTGGCCTTGAACCCTGCCAGGGAGGGGGCAGCCACAGCTGCTCTGGGCACCCTGTGCCAGTGTCTCACCACTCTCACAGTGAAGAATTTCTTCCTATTAGCTAATCTAAATCTACCCTCTTTCAGTTTAAAGCCGTTACCCCATTTTTTAACATGTTTCTTTTTTGTTTGTTTTACTAAAATATAGAGACACATATGATAAAATCATACATTTGTGTTTGTTTTTCCCCTGTAACATGAGGGAGAAAATTGCTGTTTCTGAAACGGCAAGACCATTTGTTTAAAAATAAATAAATAAAAAAAACCCAAACAAACCCTCAGCCATCTAAGGTGTAAAAATAACAGATTGTCACTGTCCTCGTCACTAATAAAAGAAATAATCTTCCATCAAAAGGGGAAAATGAAATAGCAAGTTCTTTAAGTCATCTCCCAGGATATACATTTTCCCAGGGTCCATGCATTCATCCTGCTGAGTCAAAACCAATGAAGTTGAAACATGTTGGTGACAAAATTTATTTCTGGCAAATAAAATAAAAATATGTACTCCCCTTCCTTCTGGCGGGACAGAAGAGAAGAAGATGAAGTGGGAATTTCCCAGTAAACTCAGAAGTCTAGTCTGTAAGTGTAGATTGTATGTGCTTGAAGCAGATGTGTTGTATTAGGTATAGTTGACACAGGAGCTGAAGTTACTTTGGAAAAGACCTGACATTTTAGACTGCTGAGAATCCGAGAGTGTTTGGACTGCAAGAGAAGTGATAGATCTCAGCTAAAAGTAAGGGTAATCAACCCTATCCCAGGTTCAGATATCTTCCCAGCTGTGTTTCTGCAAAAATATGTCATGATCTAACGAGGAAGTTTAAAATGAGAAGAAAATGATGAGAATTCTCCTTCGCTTACCTTCTTTTTAATGGTCGCTTTGTGGGAAAGTGCTGATCTAGGCAATGTTTTTTGCACCCAATTAATTTACAGCAGAGCCAACAGCACCAAAATGAAACTGAAAGTTCTGCTAGCACTTCTGAGAAATGGTGATTGCTGTCTATAATTTAATTTTTCATTCACAAATAAGAAACTAATTGCATGAAAAGGAAGGGAGTGGAGGAAATTCACATGTCAGGAGGCTGACAAGGCCTATAGAGATGTTTGACTCCCATAAGAGAAAAAAACATTCTGTTATTTAGATTTGACATAGGCACTAAACTATCAAAACACAGGCAGGCTTAGGGGTACCGTGGGCAGAAATGTAGGTGTCCAGGAACCTTTACTGTGGAAAACTTGGAGGGAGGATTCAGAGGATCTAAAATTTGGGCCTCAAGGCCCACAAGAATATTTAAACACTTAAACTCACCTTGTGGATCCAGCTTGTTAAAGGTTTGAATATGGTTGAGTACAGTCATTTCCATTTTTATCTTTCATTGCAGTTGGAGTGTTGCTATGAGAACCAAGTAGAAGAACAAAAAGATGGACCTTCATATTTGTTACTTCTTGCCCTTCTTCCTCTGTTTCATGGTTTCTTAGCAGTGCTCTTTACCGGTTTGCATCTGTTCAGTGGGACAATGAATTATCCCAGGAAAAAAGTTAATTAAATTTACAAATAATGATATGTACATTAATGCGTGTTACTTTGTAGCATTTATAATACGTTACTTTGTAGCATTTGGATTACTTTATGTAACTAGAAGTTTAAAGGTTGCAAGATAGCAAGCATTACTGCATTCACGTGCTATTTCTTGAAAAGAGATAAGATTGCTATCCTAATTTTGCAAGAAAGTACATGAGATTTTAAAGCAGGTGAAAGTATTACTGATCAATAGCAAAGGTCAGCAGTGGAGAATGGAGCCCTTATTTTGGATTTCAATTCTTTTACTTCAACATACTAGAGCTCAGAGTTAGAGTCACCGAAATCTTAATTTTTCTCAGGAACTCATGTGCTGTATGACCCATACAAATTAATTATCTCATTTGTCTCTCCAACCATAAAGCAGAAATAATAGTATTTTTCCACTCCTTACTAATGTTGTATGGCTAGTTAACAGTTTGTATGCTACTTGAGGAGGAATGTAATACCGTTCTGTAAACAAAAATGAAATTTCCTAGGCGTTCACTTGTTGTGTCTGTTCTGTTGTGTTTATCTTTCATAGTATTAATATGAAGATCTTTTACTTCCAGAACTATGTGGAAAGATTTAATGTAAAAATGAGTATCATAGCAAGGTTAGATGTTGATTTGGAATATAGGCTACTCTCAGTTAATAAAGTATGCTCAACAAAACGGGAATCAAAAGCAGTGATGAGTACAGGATATATTAAAGTTGAGTCACAAACAGAAATTGATACTGATTTGACTACTTGTAATTGCTTTAGGACAAATGAAGAGAAAATGGGAAGAAAGACTGAAGAAAGTGGAAGAACTAGCATCTCACTACGAAAGAAACCCTCTTCCTCCAGTTTATAGGCCAAAATTGTCCAAACCTCTTCTACCATCCTCTGTTTGGAAAATATTTTGTCGGCAGGCTGAAGCTTTCAATTATGTAAAAACCTGCAAAGAGGTAAATTATTTTTTAGGTGAATGTCTCTACTCTTTAGGTACTTTCAAGGTTGAACTTCACTTAAAATCTTGGTTGATGATAAAGTTTTTATTAAATTGCAGGATCTCTTTTTTTTTTTTTTCTTCTTTGTTTTCCTTTTTCCCTGTCCTGAAACAGCAAGTATTTTTTTTGTCTTTGTAGGGGATCATGCTACACTGGAGGTAGCTCTAAGAAATACTAGTTCTAACTTTCAAATTTATATGTGATGTTAACCTCTGACAATAAAAGTGCTTTTCGGTAACATTGCACTGATAGATTTGTTCCTTCTGAGGACGAGCAAGCAGTCAGGGTTGGCAGGAGAAGGGGGGGAGGTTGAGTGGGAAGAAAGAGGAGGAAAAAACTGAGGAAGATAAAGAGGTAAATAGGAGGCAGAGGCAAAATAAAACCAATAAAACTCTCCAATGGCATCAGAGTAGCAAGTTCAGATGATAAGAAGTGATGAGCCAAATAAATGTTACGCAAAATATATCCTCTGTTTTCAGTTTAATACTTTTCAAATTGATTGCTGTTTTTAAAGAAAATACGGGGGTTTTCTCCACACTGTTTTAGGTGTTTAAGTAATCCTGACAGGTTCTTTTCAAAAATGTGCTCTTGCTGGCTTGGCAGTAGGTTTTTGTTGTGTTTTCAGATTTCCATTTTTGGATTTAAATAATATAGAATCTAAAAAATATTGGCTGTAAAGCCATATGCTGCCATCATGTTCATGAGGTTGTTCCCTTCAGGACATTATTCATGTTAGATGCACTTGCCACTGATCAGAAAAAAGACCTTACAGAGGAAGCAGAGTTTACATTAATGCACAACAAATCAAAGCTTCAACTTTTTACTCATGTAACTGAAATCAGAATGATATCCTTAATTAAAATAGATGCTACTTCTCTTGAAAAAGCCTTGAAAAGGTGTTCTACTTAAAGTTTTCAAGTATTTACTAACTTTTGACCAAAGAAATGAATGTCAAATAGGAACTTCTGAAGATATTAACTGGTTCTTTGGAGAAAAAAAAAACAACCTCAGTGTTTTTATTTAAAAAGGATGTTCATGTATTTGCTTTGGAAAAGAACACGCAAAGTGGACAGAGGTTTTACCTTGTGACAACATACAAAGAGCTCTGGTTTTATTACACGTGAGTATTTGAAAAGGTACCCTATGTGTTACCATAAGATAATAGTATACTGGATATACTATTATCAAATAATAGCTGTTACTGCATAGCTATCCCCAGTAACCGTCTGCTGCTCTGACTAGCACAAAGTTGTAATGGGTTGCCTGAGGTTTGATCTTGCCTATGGGGACAATCTTCATAAGGACAAACCAATCTATTCTACAGTGGGTTTCAACTTTGAGTGGCAGACTGGTGTTATTTCCTGTGAATTAAGGGCGCTGTCTACTGAACTTAAATCTAATAGCAGTAGATTTGCTTTTGCTGCCAGCTTTCCTCAGGGGATCATACCAAGACGTGACACAAATATATTTCTGTGATTAGTCATACATCAGTTTAAATGGGCATTAATATAAATGTCTGGTTACTGGGCTATGGTTTTGTATTTGCATGATGAAGTATTGACAATCTGGTCATGTGCTGAACTTTTTTTCCCTCAACTTTTTTGTTTTACAATAAAACAATTATAAAGTAAAAGAAATCTGAGAGTCAAGTTTTATATGAAAAGTAAACTTGTTTTTTTCTCAATGTGAAAATTAGATTAATTTTTAATTTAGTTAAAAAAAAGTCTATGTAACCTCATTTTTAGTGCTTTAGACATATGAGTGATAATTTAATAAGTTTTCGACTATAGTTTCCATCATTCCTTAAATTCTTAACAGCGTTTCTGTTGACAGTATTTATTGTAAGACTTGGGGGGATGGGAAAGAGAATACAAACTTGATTTCTAGGCCAGATAAATATATTTGTTGGTACTTGATGCTGAAGTTAGCTACAAATTTTTCAAAGTGTTATAGGGCTGCTATTTATTTTAAGATGGGTGGTTGTTTGAAAAATAAAAGAATATTTAGGACTTGTGGGATCCTTGTTTGCAGCTGGTAAGTATGTATAATGTTTATCATGACAGGTTATGATTTTTGTTTTTCCTTAGGAAAGGTTATAAAACAAGTCTTATGCATTGCTATGAAGTAATTCCTGAAAAAGATGCTTGCAAACTTTATTTTGATTTGGAGTTCTACAAACCAGCAAATCTTGGTGCAGATGGCAAGAGTATGGTTGCAAAGTTAATTGAGGTAAACCGGAGCAAAACCATGTTGTAGATTAATATGAACTTGTTGTTGATATAATATGAAACCGAAGCATTTACTACTTTATCATGATTATTCTGTAGTAAAATGAAAAAGAATTGTAGACCTAGTGGTTATTTGTAGTGAAGTAAAAAGTACCGGTTTAGTTAAAGCAAAGGTTCTCTCCTTTAAGTGAAAGGAAGAAATAGAGAATGATGGTTGTTGGAATGTTTGTATTCAGTGTAGGCTTACAGATAAGTTTGCTTTTGCATATTGTTTTATGTGCTCTGCCACTTCAAAGCTGTAAAACTGAAGGAATGTTTAAGTATTCTTCAGAGTAGCACCAGTAAAAGTTCCATTCAGATATTCCTCAGTTCATTTCCTTTGCCAACTGATGCAGTCATATATCAAGGCTTAGATAAATCCCTCCTGATTTTTGGTGTCATCAGGTGGCAGTTTATTATAGTTGAGTTAAATGATGATGTAGAGAACATCAGGTGACTGCAGTTACCAATTTGGTACCTAAATATCTCTGCTAATTCTCAATTTTATTAAATAGTACAAATTTCCACTTTATTGAAAATTTGGTTGGGAAATGAGCTCTACTGCAAATTCAGTATGACAGAGTTGGAAAGTAAAGCAGGTTTTTAGAAGAATATCTTCTGTTCCAATAAAATCTCTTTGTGAGTGGCCATTTATTTGTTAGACTTCCGATGTTTACGTGTTCCTAGCTAGAAAGGAAAGAAAGATGATGATGATTGAGGTCGTTTCTTTGTAAAGAACCCTCCATTGACACAGAATCTGGAGAAGTTTATTCAGTTGTCGATCAGTTCTGAAATCTAGAGATTCCTCAGGTTGAGAAGAGAACTTTGGATTTGCTGGGTGGGGGATCTGAAATGCTGAAACCCTAAGCTTCCAGACCCTTAGGTTCTGAGTCCCAGTCCTAAGCATGAGTAATCACAAGCTTAGCTTATAAAAAATTTTTAGAGCTATTTTAGAGCCAAGCATCTTATGTTTTCCCCTTAGTGTTCATTGTGTCATACCAGTGAATTAGCATACCAACCCTTTGTATCATGATAGCTTCTGTCTTCCATTCTAGGTAAGCCTGCTAAACAAACACTGTTACTGTGGGTGTGAACTGCTTTGTGGTGGAAAAAATCAGAAGATAAAGCTATTAAATTAGTCTTTGACCCAAAAAACTGAAAATCTGCTCAGCTTATCACTCTTAGTATATTCAATGACTTGCTTATTTCAGGAAATACAATCTATGTCAAATTTGGTTAAAATTTGCAATGTCATGAGTTACTTTGAATTAAATTAATTGTATGCTCAAAATGAGGGAAAAAAAACTTAAAAAAAAAATTATGTAGAATCTGTATTTGTGTTAGGTTTTATAGATACCACTATTAAAAATGCTGGAGAAAACAGCCTAATTAATGTTTATATTTTCAGCTTGTCAGCCAAAAATTAAAGGAACTTTATGATGTAAATTGTTCAGCCAAAGATGTCTTGAATTTAGATTCCAGTACTGATGAAAAATTCAGTCGACACTTAATATTTCTACCTGAAAAGGCTGTATTCAAGGATAATATTCATGTTGGTAAGTATGTTCTTTTCTCTTACACCTAGAAATGAAAGGTGAGATTTTGACTTTGTACAGTGCCATTTTACATTTGAATATTTATTTTAATGGAATTATATGTGGAAATAAATATGTATTCCCAGCAGAAATTACTACCTATTTCTATTTCATTAAGCCTTGTATTTCTCAACTCATATTCAATTTCCTTTTTCTATAAGTAGCATTTTTGTGTTTGCAAAATGTAACTTGTATTTTTTTTTGTGCCTGTGAGTTTTATTTACAAAACTACTGGCAAGACTGGCTTTTGGCTTGAAAATTGTTTTACAGTGTGGCTATGACTCCTTAATTTTCAGATTAATGTCAGTCTTAACAATTAAAGCTACAATTATTGACTGTAAATGCAGTTGGTTTGTGCTCAACATGGGATCAGAAAGGTAGGACAAAGATGGTTTCAACCTACCTGTGCATAAATGTGATTAAGAGAAAGCCGAAAGCAATTTTAATTGTTGATGTAAGTTGGGATTTCATAGGATATGGCAACTCCAACACAAAGAATTGCCAGTTCACCACTGTTTGTTGTGACTCCATTTTTAAAATAAGTATAATAATACCTCCTCGCTTCACAGAATTATTTTGAACACACATTAAAAATAATGTTTGTGAAGCACTGAGGTGTTAGTGGTGAGCATTAAGAAAAGTTAATGTTGAATTTCTTCATCTTGTGTATATACAGAGCACTGCTCAGCAATAACAGAAACATCCCTGGATTATCAACAGTATTTTCAGCACACATCCAAAACATAGCTCCATACTAGCTGCTATGAAGAAAATTAACTCTATCCCAACCAAAACTAGCACATCCTCCATCCCTTATCCCGTACCATTTACATCATGCTCTGGTCTCACGCTATCCAGTATATCCTCATTCACCGCCGCCACCCTTTGAGATAATACACAGACAGCATTCCCTTAGTCTATGGACCACCCTTGTGAAATGTCTGTAAAATGTTCACAAATGTCCACAAAATGTCCGTTGAGTTCATTTAGTGCATGACTTTGGGCTCCATCTCCTGTGGTGGTCACCCAGGACAGGAGAGGTGGTGTGTTGTGTGGAGTTACTGGGCACCAAAGCCAGCTCAGGCTGGGTCACGGCTGCGCGTGCGCTGCTTCTTGTGAGGCTGCTCCTCCCCTGGTTCGGGTGGTTCCTGCTGTAGTGACTCCTATACCACGCAACTCAAACCACGGTTTACAACAATTTAAGGTATTTCCATTACAATCCGCAGCCCTGGTCCCTTTGGGCCAGGTCATAGAGTTTAACATTGCCATGAACTCCTGCCCTTGCTCCAGCTCCAGCTTGGGCTTACCCGCAGACTGCGGTCCCGCAGGGTTGTACCTGCTCCAAGTGGAGCCTTATCAGTGAGCCACAGGCTCTGCTGCGGCACAGACACAACCACAGCCACAGATGCTTCGAGATGTACCTGCTCTGGTGTGGACTTATCCACAGCCACAGACGCTTTGGGGCACCCTGCTCCCACGCGGACTCATCCACAGGAGAAAATTAACTGTCCCAGCCCAAACCAGCCCAGGAGCACAGGGAAGATGGGGTCTTTGCTTTTAGTACTTGATGACAGCACAGTGGTGCTATCGTTAATGACACAGTGCTAGACTTCTTTCTAGGCCAGTACAGCATTAAAGAAGGTCTTATTTTCCTTTTGAATTGCCTAGTTATTTCATGGGAAAAACGTGTACTGTTGGATCAAAGTTGTGTAGAATTGACACGTTTTGTGTTGCTCTGCGGAATCATCTATGAAAGCTGTCGTCAGCATGAACAGCGGGAGGAGTAGAGCAAACTCTGGGGAGAAGCTGGATCTTGTAGGCCTGTGTGTATGTACAAATTTTTTTTTACCCTAATCATTTTAATATACATGTGTGGTCCATGGCCTAAGTATCACTTCAGGCCACAGTTCAGATCCTTACTCCAGCACAAAGAGGCCACAGGATTTCGCAGAACCAATTTGTTTTCAGCTTTAACATTAAAAACCCTATTTCTCATTTTTAGGAGCAGTGGTATCTGTGTCCCTAAACCAGGAGCAGCTCACATCGGGCTAAGCAAACTGTCAATATTATAATATTGGCTGCCAGCCCTAAGGGTGACACGGAGCAGTTATTTTTGATGTGACACCGTGGTAACAGCTACAAACCCTAAAGACTTAAATGGGATACTGCAATTTTTAGTTCAAAAGTATGGTCTTTAGCTCCTCTGCCACTATAAAACTCTTAAGTAATACATGGATTATAAATAATTTGGTATGACAGCAATTTTAGCCTGTGAACTTGATAACTAAATTACATTAGTCAGTTCTTTCAGTAGAAGCTTGAGCTGTTTATTCTAGCCCCATTAGTTTAAGTGTTCTGTGTCTCCACTGTGACATGAATTTGACATGTTTACTGTCAGACTTAAAATATAGAGATTGCATATTTGTGTTCTGTCTTCGCCTTTTCAACAAGATATTGAAGTCACAGTAAAAACTGATTTTTTTATAATCGAGATACGTAAATGTCAGTGTCAAATTCATGCGCGTTAACAATAATATTACACACTACTTTTCATTAATGCATTTTAGTAACCTGCTTGACAAACCTGGCTTAAAGTGTATTAGCTTTGTACTTTGTGCAAAACACTGCTGTAGTAAATAACTAAAAATGCAAATAACTTCATAAAGTAATTTCACAGAATCCATATGAAAAAATATATATTATTTGAAGTGATGGAAAGATTTTGCCTAATGCTAAACTTAAAAGGGTTAACATTTTTTAGACACATTCAAGTGTTGGGTTTTTTTGTTGCTTTGTTTTTGTTTTTGTCTTTTAATTCATTATTGTGGTGTTCTGTTTAGTAAAAATACTCTAAGATGAGTTAGTGGTATTTATGTGGGTTAAACTAGGATACGAACTATCACATCTTAGATAGTACTGTTTCATAAGAATTTTATGTCAAGAGTCATGCACAAAGTGCCTGGGCTAAAAGTTAAGTATGCTTAAAACCCATTTAATATATAACATTTGGAATAATTAGTTACTAGTTAGAATTAAAATACAGGGACTGAGTTCATAGCTCATGTAAGAAAGCACAAGAGATCACGTAGGTCCACAGGAAAGCTGTGGAGATCAATGAATTTACATTGATCTACACAGTTGACAAATCCCAAATATGAAAACACACAATACAGTCAAGGATCAAACGTGTGAAATTCAGGTTTGGTTCCCACATCCGACCAGCGAGAAGAAATGGGAAGAGAGAAAACAAAGCTGTGTGTGAATGATAAAGAACTAACTTCCAAAATAATCTTTCACTGACAGAACCCTTGCTGTCCTGACACCAGAGTGATTGTTGCTTAAATTGCATGCATAAAGAAAGGAAGTGGTCAACCAGGACTTTTAAAGATATTTTAACTTCTATGGTAATTGAAATAAACTGAATTTCTGAAATAGGTACATTTCCTCCCTGAACTGAAGATCCGAGTAACTATTGTTGTAAACCTAAGAAATTCTGTGAGCATATTTGAACACACAGGCTCAAAACACTGTCTATGACTGTGAATGATTTGTGTGCCTCAGCAGTCCTGTAATGAATTATGAGGATGGTGACACTCAGGCTTGATCCACGGAGTCATTCTGCTGCCAGGTAGCACAGGAGGAGCTGTATTTCATATTCTTTCAGGTTCCCCACTGAAGCTTCATCGAACGGCTGCAGAATCCTCCTTGTCAGTATTACTTCCACTTCATAGTTTTATTTCCATATCTGTTTTTATTCTATTCTCTTCTTTCTTCCTGCAAGTAATTTGGCCATGGTTTTTATTTGTCTGTCTGTGGTTACCATCTAGCAAGGCCTGGAGGTACCATGGGAGTTGAATTACAATACTGGGAGTTTGAAAAGCCATTACAAAATGCCTTTATAAAAGTAATTTATTGTTCTGTAATCCCTGGTCAGGCTCTTACATCAGTTAATATACAATGAAGCTGCAAGTAAACCTTTTTAATCATTCTAAAAGTGAAATTAGGGAAAGCAGTAGTGAGAGAGACGATCAAGCTTTTCAGAATCCTGAATCTGAGCTTGTTAATGTCATCGTGTGCTGTCATTAGCTACTGAAAAAATATTCAGCTAAATGATTAAAAACTACCTATGGTTGGATAAAAAAATAAGTTGTGTAATAGCAAAGCTATAGGAATGCTTTACTCATGTATTGAAGAGGTATTGAAATATTAAATCAAACTACATTTTATAAAGGACCTTGACTACGTATTTTTTGGTATCACTGTCATTAACAAAGTCCTACATTAAGCATTTGAGCAAGTCTTACTATTAACAGCTAAGTCTAACTATTAACAGAAATGTTCCTGCTAAGATAGCATGAAGACCCAAACTGAACTCCGTTCAGTAAGTTTCTGACATTCTAGTGGAAAGTTCAGGTTCACGGAAATTTTAGTGCAAAAGTCTTCCCCATACTAATCGTTAAGTCAAGATTATTAGTGCCCCAAGCATGGGAGCAGCTTGAGATCTTGTCTGTCAGAGGCTTTAATAACTGCAAAGGTACAGGGGGTGTGATGGGTAGGAGAACTGATTTTGAAAGACACCAAAGGCTTATTTCAATTTTGCGCTTTTATCTAGAACTTTGAATTTAGTTTGGGGAACTGCAGTGACAGTTTATGCCTTTCGGTTTCATTATGTTGTCTTTATTTCTAATGTGGTGATTGCCAAGTCATCTTGCTTCTCCGTTCTCTCTGTTCTCAGTAGTAAAATTGCAACGGGGAAGATTATGGCTGTATGATACAATTAATATATGCACAACTGTTTATTTTCTCATGTTTAAAAAACAACAAAAAAATATTAGGAAAAATTCTTGCTAAGCATGGGTTTCTTAGTTATTAACCAGACCCATTTTGTACACTGTACTGGTCAAAAGATTGCTTTAAAAAAATTCATAAGGGGAAAAAAGTGCCCTAAGCCCCAACCACTTCCATCTTGGCTGTTTTGAAAAATGTTTGCACAGGAACTGTTAAGTTCTCATAAATGATGTTATCTGCTTTCGGGGTTTTTTGTTTGTTTGTTTTTCAGGTAACTTTGTGAGAACCATTTTGCAGCCTGCCATAAGGTTAATGGAAAGTAAAGCTGCTGATGTGATTCCAGAAGAAGGAGCAGGCCGTGTTTTCCAGTGTTCTGCAGAAGGAGTTGGATTAGATGGTTCTCTTACAAACCTCACAGCTGTCGAAGATACTTCCAAAGGCTGGCCAGCCATCGCTTGCAAAACAAAGGATATGGAAACATCACACCAGGGAGAAAATTTGGAGTTTTCCTTTCTAATAGTAAACGATAAAGAAGGTGACAAGCGACTTTTTGTGGATCTAGGTAAATGTAAGCAGTGCCTTTAAATCTCTTTGGGATGCAACAAAGGTTAAGAAATTAGATGTTCCTTAATATTTGATTACAGACAATAAGAACAACAGTGTTCTTGCTGTTGTCCCTACGGACAGAATTTAAACCAAATACAAAATGTGCTGAAGCTGTGATCGTAAATGCTGTACTTTAAAGGAGCCTTAGAGTCTTGGTCCATTGTATTTCTTATATTACTGCATTTATTTTGTTATGAAGTTTGAAGAAGCTCTTGCAACACAAGACACTGTAATTAATTTTGTTCCTAAGGACTTAGTGCCCCTATTTGGATTAAAAGAGGATAGCATATATTGGTTTTTTGTCATTTCAGTTGAAGTAGAAGCTGCTTAATTACGAAACAAGACTTACAGGCGTGGCTTTCTGTATTGTTTTACATGTATGAATTGAGCCTGCTTCCTCTGTTTGGAATGGCAGTTGTTAGGTTTTAATGACAGAATAGAAATTTGGGGTTGGGCACTTCACAGCCCAGTTGGGCTTAGCCTATTCGTGGTCCTAAAATGTTAAAAATCTCCAGGAGCACAACACCCATAGTCAAACTAGTTTAAAGTCCCACCCCTCTCCATCCCCCTATCTGCTTTCTCTGCTTTCTGCTCCGTCTCAGTGAAATGAAAATAGCTCAGCAGGCTTTCGTACAGCGGTATGTTGTGAACTTGAGGACTTTATCTTGTGGTTTTTCTCAGACTTCTCTGAAGAACCCCCAATTCCTTCAAATTCTTCTCATGGAATTCAGGATCACTTTTATTGCTGACCTCTTCAGTATGTCTGATTTGTTGAAATGTGATCCCAAAGTTGGCCCTATAGTAGGCTTCTGCATTACTGATTCAGAAGGATTACTTTGCACCTGCTGTACAAAATTCCTTCAAACATATTAATGCACAGAAATTAAAGAAAAAACAAATCGTTTACTGCAGCACTTTTTAAGAATTTTATGTCAGTCCCCCCAAATTAACCATCCTCATTATTTATGTTACACACATTACCTCAGAACTGGAAAGCTAAGATCAGAATAGCTGGAATACTGAATTACATCGTGAGGCTGCAGTGATAGAAAGCTATGTGACATTCTTGTGGTATGCGTTCTTTTATCTTCATGAAAATTAAATGCAACCCACAAATAAAACACCCACCTCCTCAATAAATTCTTAGACAGATTAGGCAATGTTTAACGTACCTGCTCAATTTTTTGTTGTTTATTTTTGAGATTGGAATTGAATTCTCTTGATACATGCTTCAGACAAGTGGCGTTTGGTCCACAGGAAATATGAAGTCCTTTCTGGTTAAAATAATTGTGCAGTTTTTTATGCTCAATTGGGTCTAAGGAAAATTGTTTAGTTTTCAAGTACTAAGTATCATAAATCCTAGCCAGCATTGTTATGTTAAGAAATGTTTGTTTTCCTGTAGGAGTTTATACAAAGAATAGAAATTTCCGGATGTATAAATCATCAAAAGCAGGAAAAAATGTGATTCTGAAGATAGCAGAGGATAATAAGTTTGTCCCTAACTGTGAAGAGAATGTTTCCTTGGAAGAAGCATATTTTCTTTCCTCGTTGATCTGCAACACTAGGTAATTGTTTAATTCTGGTGGAATTTAAAATATTTTAAAATACGTATTTTAGTGATTTGCAGCAGTTATGAATAACTCCTATCAATGGGCAGTTATTCCATCAACATCATTACAGTGTAATTTAAGAGTTTCCAGAGGAATTCCTTGTTTTTGAAGAAAAAACTTCTTGGGACTTATTATTTTAACTTACCTTCACAAGTTTAAAGAACACAGAAATTGTGGTACAGCTTCTGAGTTGAGCATCATTTCACTATGCACACTCAAAATGCCCAAATGTAACCATTATTAAGTTTAGTCAGATTCTGCATAGTTCTAAAATGAAAAATTACAGATTTCCAGTCAACTAAATATGAAGAATCTAAATATTTTGCAAATTATGATAAAAAAATAAAAAGGATTTTTGTACATGTTTACTTGCATACCAGATTTCCCATTTGGTACATGTACAAAAAAAGGATTTTTGTACATGTTTACTTGCATACAGATTTCCCATTCCTTATGTTGGATACCGGTACATGCAATAATCAGACTTTCTGGATCTGATCTGAACCTCTGCTATAGCTTACTCTGCACCGACTATATTTTACGATGATCCTAATCATTACTGCAGCAGAAAGTTAAAATGGTCCATCTGTATAAAACTATGTATATGCTTTATTAAAAATATGTATTTGTTGTGACTTCAGTTTTCATACCCTGAAATGTTCCCGCACCTGCGGCGATGCCAGCAGCCCCACAGCATAAATCACGCAGCGTATTCAGATCACAGGTAGCGGCTGAGGCTGTTGTGAATGTGGGTGAGAAATTCTGCTGTGTTGAATTTAGTCTTCGGTGATCACACAGCCTTCCTTCCGGGTAGTAATACGGAAAGGAAAAGTAGTTCAGTGTAGAGCGGCGAAAAAAAAATCAAACCACCCAAAGGGTATACACGCATAAATAATGCATCTAGAGTAAATACTGCTGTAAGGGCGTGGACCAGCAGTTTTTAAATGGCCGAGTCCCGGGATTCTTGTCAACGACCAAGTTTTGCCGTCCTGGAGGGGAAAACCCTGCCCTCTGCTGGTGCAAGCCAGAGGAATCTGTCAAAATGGGAAAAAACCGTGCTAGAGGGGTAGCAGAAGGGACCATCCGGGCTCCCGGCGCGGCTGAGGTTGGCAGGGAGCTCTGGAGGTCACCTGGTCCTGGGCGCTGCTGCGGCCCAGGCCGGCACCGCGCTCCCTCGCAGCAGCGATACACCAGGCTGTCTCGCTGCGGGAATCACCCCCTGTATTCTCTCTTTTCTTCAGAGCGAGGGACGACACAAAAGTTCTGTCATCTGACTTTTCAGAGGAGGAGAGAAAAATGTCTGCTTTTTTAAACAGTCCAACTACCAGAAGCACTAGAGGTACCTCCAGACTTTTCTACTGTATAGGAAAAACGTACTCTCAAATTAGATGTACTGTGACTCACACACCCGAGAGCCTCTCGGGGGGCTTCTCTTCAGCTAGCTTTGGGTGGGAGGCAGAGCACAGCTGCAGGGAAGGGTGCTCTGCAGCACCCAAATGCCATTTACCCTCCCACAGCTGTCCTACTCTGGCCCAGTTCCCTCTGCACCTCGGGGGCGGGGGGCGCAGCTTAGAGATCTGCAGGAAAGCGACAGAGGATTTGGCCCTGGTTTTATTGCAGGATTGGGTGTGATTCACGTGCATTTTCTGTCTGTGGTCTACAGAATGCGTAAGAGTTACCGTTCCGTACTACAGTGGCAAAAACATGTACCTGTGGCCTTTGTTTTAACAGATCCCATGGAAGGTTATCAGGATTCTCCATATCCAGAAATTGATTATTTTGTTCGTTCTTTGGTTAATAAAGATGGGGTACAAGGAGGTAAAAACCACTTTACTATTTACAAATGAGCGCTCTGCAGCAGTATTTTTAAAGAATTCATTATTTATTCCCCTCCTCCCCCCCAGGTATACGGCGATGGAATTATTTTTCTCTGGGAGAAATACTTGTATATGATATTTCTGGTTACCGTTGGTGTGAAAATATTGGAAGAGCTCACAAAAGTAACAACATAATGTATGTTCCTTAACTAGTCACTTTAAACCAGCTTCATTTCTTCTGCTGCTCAACTATTAATTATATAAAAATGCTGAAAAACTCTTATGGATAGAATCAGCACCAGTCACAATTTCTGCTCTCTTGCTCTGTGGGGATACAGTGCTTTTTTTTTTTTAAAAAAAAAAACCCACACAGACTTTTTTCCCCCTTGAATTTACATCATGATAACTGAACTTGTATTTGTAGTATTTCTTAGAATGCTCATGCTATTTAAAACACGTGCCTAAAGATGCTAACATACAAGTCAGAGTACGTTAAAGCTATTAAGTGATGCTCTGCTTTGATGCTTCTTAGCTAGAAAGCTGAACAATCTGAAATAAGATAAACAGACCACTTTTAAATGAATTTACAGTGCATCTTAAATTACATTCTTATGCTATTAAAATGACAAAGGTAACTCCTGCCACCACCTCAGTCAAGATGAGCTTTGCTAGTGACTCTGCAAGGACTTGAAAAGTCAGGTTTTTTAGATTACATTAGAATTGCAGTATATCATTAGTAGAAATATTTTAACTTAAAAATAATTCTATATAACATTTTAAATAACTGACAGATAAGGAATGTGTTTTTGAGAAACAAGGGTATAAAAAAACCCCCACAGCCACTATGCTAGATGAACTTGGTGTTTCTCAAGTAAGTTGCTCGAAGGTCGGTGTTTCTAAAGCATGGCGAAAAAAGCTGGATTGTATAATCAGTTGACAGGAAATAGTGATTTTATCTGGTTCTTACAATGAAATTATCTGTAACAGCAGCAGCAACAAAATCTTATTAAAATCGGTTCGGTCCAATATACTAATCCTACTTTAATGACTTTTTCTTCCAAGATTTATGTAATGAAGTTGACTAAATTTCACTTTCAAATGTTAGCCTTAAAAGAAACATATTTTTAACTTAAGAAACCTGAAGTTTATTGAAAAAAAAAAAAAAAAGACTGTACGAAAGTATGCAACAAGTATATCAGAGCATGAAAGAAATATCCATAGATAGGGACAAACAAAACCTGTTCCTTTAGTGTCGGTTTCCTACTGTACACATTCACTTCATTTATATACTGTTACTAAAAAGTAAATTATTTCAATCTTAGGATTCTGGTAGATCTAAAGAAGGAAGTCTGGTATCAAAAGTGTCATGATCCAGTCTGCAGAGAGAATAACTTCAAATCACAAAGTATGTATTCGGTGATTTCAAAGCAATTATACTTCACACTTTTCCGACTGTTAACTTGAATTAATGCCATCTATTTGATTTAGGTTTTCCGTTACCACCTAGGATATGTCTCCCATCTCTTTTCAAAGAGGTATGTTGTTGCCCTATCGATATGCTAAAGTTCTTCTGAGTAGAGCTGTCTCTGGAAGTCACCGAAGAGCCCCACCACCCCAGTCTGCTGAGCTCCACACAGTAGTTACACTGGTACAGAACAGCTCCCCAGAGCAGCTGTGCTGCTGCACTAGCTCCCCAGAGTCATCTTTAAGTTCTCCAGCAGCAGACTCGGCACAAAACCACTCTGCACAGATAAAGCTTAGGTTGTTTGGAACAGCCTAACTTCACCTGGGACTAAAGACTTTCTTCTGTCTTGGCCTGAACAGCAGTGCCCAGTGCATAAACCACAAGACCGTGGCAGGTGCAGAATGGAAAAAACTGCCCAAGTTAAGCTCTGCTCTGTGTGTCTGACTTCACAAAGGGCCAGATAAAATAGAAGCGCTCCTGGAACACTGGAGTCAGTCAGTGACTATCAGATTTGACGTTCACGTAACTCCATTTTGGTGTATTAAAGCAGTTTATGTTTGCCCATCTGGGTAGAATATTTAAACCAACCTGATACCGCACCTAGATTCCAAGCCCTGAACATAATAGTTTTCTCACTGAGTAGGCAATGAGAGTTGGCACGACTTTTCAATTTACACTTTACACTTTTAAATTGCATACCGCAGAATGGCACATTAAGCTCTTTAAGCAGATCATCTGTAGCTACTAGTGCTATTTCATGGAAAGTGTAATTTAAATGCATTTTCAGATCCTGACAGTATCTTTAAATAGACACTAAAATTTGTTTTAACCTTGTATTATTTTAAGAAGCTGTATACAACAGACTATTGTAGAAAAAAAAGCAGATTTTTATTCCTATTAAAATAGGCTTCCCCAGGTTAATGAGGCTATAAATGAACGTGCTAGAAAATGTGTCTTACTGGCCAGCTTTCTGTAGTATCCATTATATGTAATAGTACGTGTTTCAAACTTTCAGATCAGAGCACTTAAAGGTACGAGGACTGTTTTCATATGGAATAAGTAGCATTCTTGTTTCTAAAAGGAAGAAGAATATGCACTAATGGATGAAAGAGAGAACACAGAAGAAAAAGCAAAACCACGTTCTAATGCATCAGCCTTGTCAAAAAGCTCAGTATCTCTAGGAAAAAGCTCACCTCAAGGCTTCCTGTGGTCAGACAGTGAGTGGGACACAGCGAGCGATGACGCCTGTTTCCTGGAAGCTACTGAAGACGTGGAACTAGCTGAAGCTGCAAATGATAGTCTGCATTACGCCGTGGAAGAAATTCCTGATTAAGTTCTTTTGGAAGCTTTAAGGAAACAGGACCCTTGTGCTGAAGGCAGTGGCTAACCACAGACCTGGCTAGCAGACAGACCTGGCTTGCGTATCGCCTGCCTCCTGTGGAAGACAGCTACTGCGTTGTAGTTCGGAAGCGCTCCTCCCCAGCTGCAGGACAACAAACTGAGCAACTAACTGCTAGCAAGCAAGTATCCTCCCAGCCAGGTGGTCTGCAACAGGCCTGAGGAGATCAGGGAAGATTACACAGGGGCTGAAGAGCACTGGGCTGAAAACTTGTCAGGAATGCTGCTCCAAGTTTAGTGCTTTTAATGCTCTCTGCTGTGTGGTTTCTGTTTTGTTAGCTGTATGTTCAACTTCTACTGATAATCGTAAATATAAGAAATAGTAAGAAAATAATAAATAAATGATAAGTCAAATAGATTACTTCCAGAAATGGGAGGAAATTATTTATTTCAACTACAAATTTAATAAAGAGATTTGTCCATCAATAGTTCAACTACAGTCTATGTGTTCTCTTTTAAAAATATATATTGCTTCCAAGAGCACATTAATAGCCCAAGATTAAAACCCAGCACTGTTAACAGAGCACAGAAAAGTTTTACTACTTTAACTGGAATTGCTATTTCATTAATTTCACCAACATTCTGAGTAAGTTCTCACACAGACTATTTGACAATAGAGAGAGAGAAGTGACTTAATCGGAGACTATTTTAAACACTGAAGCAAAATAAAGCAACAATGATTAATTAATCAAACTTCAAGCACTGACCATTCTAATAATTGTCACTAACGAATGTCAGAAAGCCTATTGAAAAACACTTAATGTTTCTTTGGTAACTTCCCTCTTTGTACAGCCAGAGCTTCTTCCAGTTTCTTATTAATATTCTGAAAGTGCTTTTCTGCTCCTAGAATTCTCCGTGACTCCACCAGAAGAGCAGGGAGGCTGGACCTTCCATACTGTTGTTAAGGAAATAAAATTACAAGGTGACATTTTTAACTCTTGGAAAAGTCAATTCCGTATCTGTATTTCTTTTTACTCTGTCTGAAATGGTGCAATGTGGTTTTTAAAAGTGAAGAACGGCCAGCGTTGGAGACTCCTCTGCAATGGCAGGATTTCCCTTACATGGGGCAGGCATGTAAGCACTGCCAACAGAAAATACCACACCAGGTCATGAGCCGCAGCAAAAGGGGAAGGAGTTCCAAGGCTACATGAAAAGTTCCTCTGCTCGTGAAAGACAAACACGGCTCTTAGCAATAAATACCTTACAGAACAGCCCTGTAAGTACCAGAGCTCTCCCTACCTTTGAACAGAAACAACAACAAAAAATGATTACTTGTTTCTCTCTGCTAATCCTTCAGTTTCTATACAAAATGTTAGATCTGAGGACAACTGATACACTTCCATGTCCTCTGAACTCCTGGACAGACAGTAAGGTAGCAGAAGCCTCCTCTGTAATACTTTAATTTCTAGCATGAGACCAAAAAAGTGATTGAGATAGTAAGCACAGTTAAAGCAATGATTCTCAAGTTGCTTCCGCAAAGACAATTAACAAAATGTTGCCACGCTATTTAAGGTAAGTTAAACATGAATAGAAATGCTTATCAGTCCAGGAGAGAAAACTGATCCAGAACAGTTCAGAAACACACACAAAATATTTACTTACTACTACTTTTTCTTTTGGGTTTTCTTCTCTGTAATTCAAACAGTCTTGCTGTAGCTCCTTTAAATCAGTAAGTAATTCAGTTGCTCGCCTCAAGGAAGATTGCCTTTCCTGTAGCTCAGCATGTTCTCTTTGCAGTTGTATCAGTTGTGGTTCAGCTCTGAAAAAAGATCAAGGCTTTGATGGCTATGCCTGCATATTTATTTCATGAGTAACTATTTCCTCTGAAGAGGGCTTAAGGGAAAGGTTGGTCAGAAATACAAAAACATAGGTTAATGTAACACAGTGTTTAATTAGAACAACTAGCATCTTAAACAGGAGCATGGGTCCAAATCCATAAAAAAACCCCAAACCTTTTTTCCATGCCTCTTCTGAGTCTGACAATTTAGCCATTCTCTCCACTTCAGTTTTTCAAGTGAAGTTTCTTAGCTACCCAGTGTTCTGCACACACCTGCTTGCAGGCTGAGGTGTTCAGTGCTTATGCAGGAGCATGCTCAGGATCTACAAACTACATACGCCTCTGCCTATGTAAATGGGAGGGCTCAGCCCATTACAACAGCCCTCCAAAAACTGGACACCAACAGCCATTTTCATTTAACAAGTGCTGCAGCAAAAAAGCCTTTCTTAAGATGATCAAGGGATTAAAAAAGAACAAACAGAAAACACGAGGACAGGTTTCAGTCTGTGAGGGGGTTCAAACCCATCCTGAGAGATGCCTTTACTCAGTTCTCCGAGTGAAGTCTGTCCATGGTACTGCAAAGACAAGACTCCCGTGGCCGTGGAGAAGGGGCTTTTCATCTGCCTTTGTGGGCCCAAGCTCGCGGTTCCCTACAGCGGTATCTTACAGCGTGGACGTTACATGCAGCTTCAGTATAAAGCTTGTCAGCAGTAACCAGCTGAACCTGGGGAAGTCTCGTGGTTCTTCCAAAGAACCTAATGTGTGTGTTGTGTACCTAAAGGGCGTTAAGATTAATGCCAAGTTAGAGAAGGGGAAATCTGTGACCACATGAGATGGAAGCAAACCATGTATGTACTCAGAGGCGTCCCCGACAAACTGCAGAGGTGAAATACATTCTCTCACCTCAAAACCAAAAAAGCCCTCTGCATTACCTTTGTAAATTTATGATTCAGCACTTTTGCAATTCCAGTGACTACGTTAGTGTTTTTCTTATGAACCCATGGTCCAAAATACCATCCCAGTAACTAGCCAGCTAAGAGAACTTGCAAGAATGACTAGGCAACTGAAATATGGAAAGGCAACGTCATCCTTAGCTTTTGTAAAACCAGAAAGCAATACAGAACACAAGTAGAGTTTCATCAACATTAAAGAACAAAGAAAATTACTTTCACTTCTGAGTTACAAAATACCAGACACCTGAAGTTCCTCAGGCTATTATTGTGCATCATTAGAAACATACCTAATTAGCTCTTCTCTGAGTTGCATCAGTCGCTGCCTTTTCTTTTTGATGTCTGTTATTACCTGGAACATAGAGTGCGGAAAGTCTTTGGAACGGTTTCTGTAGCTTCAAAGGCAAACAACTCAAATTTCATTGGCTTTTTTTCTCTGAGGTTTTATGCTTCTGACTCTGGGTGTGGAAGATCCTAAGGTACGAGACCTTATAAACTGCCATATTTTGTGTTTGTATTTTAAACACTTTAAAGCTCTTTAAAATGTCAAGCTCTCACCTCCATAAAAAATTTCTCTTAAGGAACAACGGATTTACAAGCATACAAAAGGAGGTTGTGACACTTTGAACTCAAACATGACCAACCCTAGCGGGTTCTGTTTATCTGTTTTAGAAATGCAGACTAATGTGAGAGTATGTTCAGTATGATTGCCGTAAGGAACTAAGCATAATTAAGCTTCCTTTAATACAACACCCAACTTAGAAAAACAAAAGAACAATCATAAATTTATCAACTACAGATCTGATTTTAAACAAATGTATAAGAGGCAAAATAGGGATAATTCTGAGTTGTTGTGAATGCTGATGTGTATGCAAATGCTCATTGGCATGCCGCGTAGCTTACTGTATCACCTCAAATCAACAAGATTTTAGTACATTCATTGCTACCTCCCAGAGTAAGATCTCTGTTGACTTGTCCTGGGTTGAGTGAGTGGTGGAGTTTTTTGGTGGCAGGGGAGGGGGCTATCGGGGCGGCCCCCTGTGAGAAGCTTCTCGAAGCTCCCCCAGCTCCACGTCAGCTCCACTTCTGTTTGGGAAATTGAGCCAATCAGCTGCGCCTCTGCGATAACGTATTTGAGAAGGGACGTGGTGACGGGCAGTGGGACTTGTGAGGAGGAGTTGCTGCAGCTGCATGAACACCAAGGTCAGTGGAGGAACGGAGGAAGAAAGGAGGGGGGAGGTGTGCTGGAGCAGAGACCCCCCTGTATCCTGTGGTGAGACGGCAGGGCGGCCCCCCCTGCCACCCATGGAGATCTACGGTGGAGCAGACATTGATTTATGGCCTGTTGCTCCTGCTTGCCTATCAAGGTTCTGTGCCCGAAGAAGGCTGGGGTCTCATGGGAAAAGGCAGCCCCGCTGCTGTAATTCAGTGCTGGGAGGATTGCAGCATGCAGGGGAGTCCCACGCCGGAGCAGCTCGGGAAGGGCTGCAGCCGTGGGAGGGAATCCAGTCGGAGGAAGTTGGTGACCCATGACGGAGCAGTGTGGGGAACGCTGAGGCCCATGGGAGGAATTCAAGTCGGAGAAAGATTGTGGAGGACTGTCTCCTGTGAGAGGGGGATTTTTTTCCCCATCCCAGTCCTATCTCGGACCCCAAGCCTGGCTCTCTGTCCCTTCTCATTGCCGAAGGGGAAGGGAGAGAGAGGTGCTGCACTGTGGTTGGCTGCCAACCAGGCCTAAACCACGACATGACTTCACGTCTTAAAAGCTATTTTGTCATCCAAAAGTTTGCAAATGATGTTAATCTGGGCAGAAAGCCTCTGGCAGACAGTGCCTAACCTGCCTTTAAGCATCTCTGCTGCAGGGCATTCACCTCTCCTGATGCAACGTTTTCCTGCTCTTACACTAGTTCCTCCTCCTGTCAACATTCCCCCATTGCGTTTTCAGTCAGTTACTACTCGCTCTGGATGAAGAGAGGAACTGCCTTATGCTGAACAAAAATTTTGCATACATTTAGGGAATGCAGTTCCCTTAAACTTCTCTCCTTTAAACTGAGCAATGCAATTCCGTGCTCACAGGTCACCACCTTTGCTGCTCTCCTAGATTTTATATTCATCTGTGTTTCTTGAAGGTTAGCTCTCAATATTTGATTGGCTCTCCAGAGGCCTCACCAGTGCTCATTAAAAAAAAGAGAGTAATTCAGATGCATAGATACCTACACATCCCAAAGTGCATTCCTTCTTTTTACACCAGTATAGCAATATACGTATGGAGTTTGCGATCCGTATGTCCTCAGCTTTTCCAAAAAACCTCTGGTGGTTCCCTATCCTCGATTTGTGCAGCTGATTCAATTTTTTGTGAATTATTTTATTTCTTCTAGTCAACTTTTTGAAATGTCAGTACTCACCTCTGCATGCTGTACAATTTAGTGATATGTATGTATTTACCTTAGCATTTTTTTTCTTCATATTCTTTAATTCCTGGACTTCCACTATCTACAGAGGAAAAGAAGAATTACAGATTGCCTATGGATCTTGATCTTTATTCTCCTAAAAACACAGTTGCAAAAATTACTTCGAAATAACATGGAAAGCTATTTTTAAAAAACAACACTGGTTCAAAGGCAGATGACTAGTCTATCAGGTGTGCATCAATTCTTCCCTCTCCCCATGCCAGAGGAAGACTGCTACATAAAATTAGTCATCTTACACCAGTTAGTGCAAGTAACACTCCTTGTACCAATTAGTGTAATACTACCTAGCTTAATTTTTCTGTAACTTTATAGAAAATGTATAAATCTAGTAATTGTAAAATTTGCTCAGTCTAACGAATCAGTTAGAACTATAGTTTTAGCACTTATCCATTGTACTTACTAACTCCTATGAAGTTCTGAGCTTATTTTACTTGTTGTAATTAATAAGAAGTAATCTTAGTCTTCCAAGCTAATAAACTTTGTAGTTAAGTTCAAACTGTTAATTAAAAAAGGCTGATTTTCCCTGAACTATGTTAGAGGCCTTGGTCAGGCCTCTACATAAGAGTCACTGTCACGCAGTATCAAGATTAATTCATCAACCTTTTAAAACTCTAGTCCGTGACCTTTTAGACCAGCATTTGACATAACGGTTTGCTCATTCAAATTATGAAGCTCTCCAGTTTTACTACATAATGTTTTAGATAATGACAGACTCTTCAGGATTATTAAATGCTTCCCTATTCTCAAAAGCTGACAATTTTGCGACGTGCTTGCACGACAGCAGTGTTGTGTCTAAAAGCAATTCTCAGGAAAGCCAGAACAGAGGCAGCAAATCATAACCTGCACACAACAAACTGTGCTTTCATATTATTTATCCTAATAAGAGACTAGAAAATTTAAAGTGACATAAAATAAATGTGTAAAGGACAATATAAAACCAAAGGCATTTTGACTACAATGTAATATACAGCTCTGTAATCACTACCACAAAACTGATTTTATTTACAGTGTACTTACAAGATCGGTGATTTGGTCCTTGAAAGCAGAACAGAAGGCATTGATAGCTTTTCTGCAAATGTTTGATTCTATGCTTTGTCTGGGGAAGTCAGAAGGAGAAACACAACCCATTTGGTTTAGTAAAGGAGAAATCTCCAAAACCATCCCTCTGGGTAATGAATAAAATCTGATGTTAAACAGATAGCAGCAGGGACAACTGCAGATCCTTCACGTACTATAGCTTAACTTCTGCACTGAAAAATGGCAGCTGAGATGTGTCTTTCTTGTGTCTGGAAAAATATAAAATCTCTGGAGACCACCTCAAGATCACAGATGACAAAAATGTTTGTATCACAGAAACCTAATAATCATTAACATCAGAATGTAACCAAGCAATACTGCATTCCATGAAGGACAGCACATTAGCAAAAATGCAGGTAATCTGTTTTTAAAACTTTGAGTATTCAGGAACAGGAAAGCAGAATATTTACCTATAATTTGCTGCTATATTCTCAAATTCAGATAGAACAACATCCAGTTCTGTAATATCTCTAGAAGATCTCTTCAGCTTTTTGGGACACCAAAGCTGCACAGAACATGGGCTATTCACTGAAACAACAGAATAAAGATGAGCATTGCACAATCCAGGTACACGTTCAAAACCAGCAGAGAAGTTATTGTGCCCACCATTAAAATAACCATCCAAAAGTTATGAATATTTTAATACGAAACCTGAGAAGTGGGATATATGGATTATTTCATTTGTCTTTGGCTGAGCAACTACGATAGATTTAATCTGGGAACACTTTAGAATTTGGATGATCAATCACATACAACTTATTTCTTATTTTTCATCATTTCAAGCAAATCCAGGAACATGTTAGTGAACAAACATAAACTACACAGTGGACTGCAGATATAGCTGTTTGTGCTGTAGAAACTATTAGCCTGAGAGTTTGGGCAACCTGCATTACTTAAAGAATAATGAGTTGTTATATTTACATACATTTTGTATTAATACCATATACGCTTAAAAAAAGAACCATGTACAAAGATGTTTCTTTAAACTCTGCAATAGTATTATTAACTAATTCCACAAAAAGTTAAACCATGTTTCTTCACACACTCCCACATGTAAATCTAGTACTTGAATGTGACGGCGTTCTGTTCAAAGGCAGCAAGATGACACCTGAGAAACAGTTTCTCTCTACCAAAAAATGCTGCTGTCTCGAAGCTCCCCGTCTCAAATGTCTTTATAGTAACAGCTGTGCCTTCGCTGTAAGCCAGGGGCGCTCCAAGTGCTGCCCTACGGCTGGTGCTCCAGGCCTCCAGACCCAGGGATGTGCTAAGTGCCCTACAGCTCCGTGCCAGGGGCCCAGGCTTCCCGCCAAGGGGAACGCAGCTGCCCGCAAGGGATGATGCACAGCTTTGCTTCCCCGCCTCAGGCAAGTCCAGGGACGCAAACTATGGGGATCAGAGCTGTGTGGCACACCAGCCCCTCAATTTAACCGTTGCTAATGAGCGTCCATACCAGAGCTGAAACTAAAACCTCCTGTTTCTAGAAGCAGTATGTTGCTACATACCAGAGGCGAAAACTATATAGTTATGGAAAAGCATTCACCCCGAATGAGGAAAAGCTACATGGGAGTTTTGAAAAGTCTGCTTTACCAGAAGGATCTGATGTGTTCTCTGAAGGCCGCCTCTTTTTCGCCTGCAACTGAGTAGTATTCAGGGCCTCCTGCGATATAAAAAGCAGATTAACTTCCAAAAAAAACCCTCGGTTTACTCATTTAAGCTCCTGAGAGATGGCAATTTGGCAGAACGCAGGAGAGCGCTGCCTGACTGAAACATCAGTAGCATTTCCTCAGCCCCATTTCGCCAGCATCCCAGCACAGCGGTCACACTGCTGAGGGACGGCGGCTGCCTGGCCCCACCGACCGACCGACCGACCGACCGACCGACCGACAGCCGCGTGGCAGGTGGGGCAGCATTTTGAGGAGCATTCGGCCCCTTGGTTCAGCGGAGTTGTCGCCCGGTATTAACAGTTCTCTGATCAACAGAGCCTGCTCACCTTCCTTTTCACCCATGTTCTCTCCCAATTCTTGGTCTACTTCGACTACTTTGTGACACCGACAGCACTTCTGCAAGAGCGCTGCACATGCACGCACAGTTAACTGATGAAAAAGTAACACTCTGTACTGAATTTTACAGCACGATTTTCAACAATTCCAATAAATTTCAAACCATAAAAAAAAAACTTCTATGCAAACTACTGCATAGCTTTTTTTATCACTGACCTACTTTCCCACATCTGCAGATAGTTAAGTTTCCCTGTCTGCCTGGAAGCTAAGCAAGCCAAAAGCATTTTACACTAACGGCAGTCTAAGTGTGGAAAAACACTCGTTCAAAACTGGGTGTTTTTTGTTTAATTCTAATATATATTCAACATTAATTTTATCAATACAAAAATAAATTATGTCGTAAGTTTCACTTCAATACTGAAGAAGTACGAAGGATTTATATTCCCTTTCGTACACCACTCTTTAAGAACATATATTCCAGATATGAAGAGGATATTTGAAAGAAAAGAACATATTCCCAAATGAGCAAGAGAATGGGCTACAGGATCCAGGAACATCTGGCTATTATATTCCCTGTCGACGTTGATGACTGTAGCTTTAAGCTTTTCACTTGGCCAGACCACGGGAATACTTTGAGGATTAATTATTTCAAATACCATTAAGTACTAAGACAGTACTAAGAAACAAATTAAAGGTTCTCCTCTCCCCCCCTTCTAATGCAGGCACAGCATGAAGTAAGTTGAAATTCAATTGTCTGATAATACTCATGCAACTTTTTCTGTACCACATTCTTCTCAAGGGGTGCATCTTCAGGATCAGCTGTGTTGAATTTCTGAGCATCACCACCAGACCTTTTTGAGCAATGCGTTTTTTCACTAGGAAGAGAAAAATCTCCACATGTAAACCTACTACACACAGAGAAAGAATGATCTTCAACCATATACAGAAAAAAATCTTGTGTTTTGGGGAACATTTTGTACTGTTATGTCATTTACTTCGTGTTTCCTACATGGACTACATAAAAAGTTGCAAATGGCATATCAAGCAAACAGAATCTTTATCCCTCAACAGCAATCCTCATGACAATTTAGAAATCCATTACGAATTGAACACTGGGATAGCCATGCTGTTATTGAACAGAAACTTCAAAACAGTAACAAAACTATTACTGAGGATATTTTAGCTGGAATGGAAAAGGCTTTCTTGCTGGGGGGTGGGATTGGAAATCAAAACCCAAAAAAACCCCAAACCATACTCTGATACAAGCACTATTATTGTCTTGCTGTTTCATTCAAATAAAATTTGGTTTAAATCTGTCAAATGAGAAATATACTAAAATTTGCATTAAAAGATTTTTAAAATAATTCCCTTTGTTACATATAATTTGCTTTCTACCTACTTTTCAATTTTTCCACCTTTTAACTTCAGACACCAGTATTTAGAGAATTAATACCTCACAGAGGTATTTTAAAAATCCTTTCATATAAAAAAAAAATACAGTAAAGTAATTAAATCAATGTATTGCTTACAGAAGGCAGGCACTAATTTATTCTCCCATTTCTTTTCTACATTCCTTAACCTTACTTACTCTTCTGGTTTCTCATCTGGGAAATTTTAAGTTAAAGCATCTGTTTAATAAGCAGCTACGAAAACCTGACAAACAGAACATTTTTCCCATGTAATCTTAAAACATAAAGATTAAATTAAACTATGGCAATTATTTTTTTCACTAGACCTTCTTTCTGTACTTTTCCTTTGCGGTGCTGAAACATGACCAAGTGACTCGTTTTGTGAATCTTCCTCTCCATAAGCATCCACAGCAGTACTGTGCAAAGGGTGATCTACAAAGAACAGAAAATCAGCTGCATGAAAATTGTTCCCATCTGTTCAGGCAAAGAGCACGGACATGTGTCTATGTCTAGCACTGCCTGCCATTAAGCATTTAGTTAGAATATTTGTGGTTTGGTCACTAATAAAAAGGAAGTCCTGTTAAAAGTATTATTTGAGGATGATGAAAAATATACATAGTAAAAAGCATCGTAGTTTCTATACTCATCCACCTGCTATTCCTCTACAATTTGAAACCAAAGGTGCAGGAAAGCTCAGCATATATGTATGGCATATAGCAACCACAACATTTAGTGCAGTTTATTTAAAGTTTCTCTTTGTTATGGCATAGATCTTCCACACATTTAAAAAACTACTTTCTAAATTTTACCTTTTTTTTTTTTTTTTTAATACAGATTTTTACCTGCTTTATTGGATGCTATAAGAAGGCTGTTACAGCTGCTACAGAATGTTTGTAAAAGTAGAATTCTTGCAGGTAGCTAGCAAAATAGATTAGAAATCTGGGAACTTCAAGGTTTTAGCATGCCTTCCACAGTACAGATTTTTCTTTTAAGCACATTGCCACAAAAATTTAGTGTTAGCTTACGTTAGCGCTAGTGGCATCCTTTTATAGTTTTAATACCACAGAAGTAAGGGAAAGAGCTTTTAATTTTCCAGTCTTTCCCTTATGACAGCCCTTTTGCTATACTGTTCTTCATAGCTCCTTTTCCATGCTGTTTCTAGTAGTTGCATGTATTTTCTTAGAGTAGTAACTCTTACAGCTGAGAAGCAGCTCTTGGCATTTTCTCTACAACTTCTAATCACACCGTTTTTCAAATATTTTTCTTATGGGCACCAACATATAAAAGCTATCTATATTTAATAACAGAGCACATCACACAGGTGCACCTATTCTGTCTAAATCAACTCTCTTCCAGTACGCTGAGGCCTCATTGCACACGTCCCATACAGAGCACAAAAGTGGTTTTAATGCTTCACCAAAACTAGTACGCGTTTTTGATGTCACTTTTTAAAGTAACGTTTAAAAGTGGCAGAACAACATCCCTGCGAATGTCTAAGTTTGCTGCCATGAGTATTCTTATAATAGCAAAAACCTCACTTCATAATTTAACAGAGAATAACTTAAGATATTGAACTTTAATTTAAAAATGTAAATTCTTACACAGTTGTAAAGTTATGTTGTGTGAAATTCTACCGTTCAGACTATAAAACTTGAATAGTCAGTATTTTTCCATTGACTTTTACTTGCATATATTACAGCATCATTCCCGTTACTTCCTAAACGACAGAAAATAACACTGCTCTCAAAAAACCCTCTATCTCTCCTGCCCATAACTTTCTCTGGCAAAGAAACAATACCTTTTCCTGGTAAGCACTGAAATACTTTTCGCATACGGCTTGTTCATGAAAATCATATGTTAAATCACATTCAAATTAATACTAACCAAATGAATCATCAAGCTCCTCAAGTTGATTTGCTTCCACTACTTTCAGTATCCTTGAGACATCTGGTTCTTCAAGTGGAAATGATTTCCGAGGACGGGAGCTGACTTTGTGTTCCTGGAAGGGTATGAAATTAACTGCTAATTCACCCAGCTTTTTCAGTGAGTGTAAAACAGATTAAATGTGACAATGGATTTCAAGAACATTTGACTAGAAATACATTTAACAAGGATCGCATTGACTAATGAGCTATGATATAAAGCATTTGAAGCATGTGGTTTTTTTCCTCAGGCTATGGGTTTTTTTCCCCCTAAGAGAAGTGATGGTATAATACTGATATATTCTTTTGTTCAATACTATACTGACGTGCCAGCTTTGTCTTATTTTATAAAACTAAGTGTATAAGCTTAGAAATCTTATGAGTCTAATATCTAGTTTCTATGATCTGTAGCCTTTTTCTTTTCAGACATTAAAATATTTCTTCTTTCATCTCTATGTTGCATAAATGTCCATCTTTGTCCAAATTAATTATTTTCACTTTAAACAACTGAATATATATATAGTGAAAATTCTTATAAAGAGTGAAATTTATAAATCCAGTATTACACAGTATTACACAGACACTTCTGTGAAGCAGAAGTGTAGAGAATAGCACTAGTTCATGAAATATCTGTGATTGGGTCATTTATGCTGTAAGTGTGGGAGCGAATTTCCTCACTAATGTGTACGTATGCATGGAAAGGGAATTGTAACCAGAAAACACCAACTTCGTGAGATTTTAATTCTACCAGTACTTAGTAGTACCTCACAAGTTTTGTTCTGGTACCAAACACAGACACATCGACTATTTCCTCTATAAGCTGTTCTCCATAATTTTGCAAGACTGCTTTCAAACTTTTGCCTGTTTCAAAGGCAACGGCCCATTTTGCCTGATGGTGTACTGCTCCGAAAAAAAGAAAACCGCATGCACCCCAAACCTGCACCAGCAGGGACTGCACAGCAGTTCCCAGCACCCGTGCAAAGCAAGCCTCACGTTAACACCTCTGCATCCACATCCAGAGCCAAGGCCGTAAGAGCACAGCAGAACGATAAAACACTTACTGTTTTAATTCTGCTCAACCTAGCAAAACTTACCTTTAATTTATTTCTGGAATGATTTCCCTTTTTCTTCTTCTTTGAGGACATTTCCCTATTCGGTAGATGCTGCTAAACATACAGCTGGGGATAAACTGTCATCAATACAAATCTGCTTTTTCTCTCAATACCTGCGAGAACGGGAAATCTTTGTTAATTCAACGCACGCTGGGTAACTTTAACAGTGGTAAAACTCACTTTATTGGAGCAGCCCGACGCCTGGCATAGCACATGCCGGTAACAAGGCACACAAATGAAAAGGACAAAGCAAGACAGCGCCTGGCGCTGCTTAACCACGGCGTTCGCTTCATCGCTGCCGTTTCCCTCATGCAGGAGACCCCGGGCCCCAGCCGCGCCCCCCCCCCGCCCTCACCCAGGAGCCCACAGGCGCGGCCCGCCGCCTCGGGAAGAGAAAAAGCGGGCGGCGGCCCCGCCGCTCTCCCTCCATCTCGCCTCCTGTCCCCACCCGGGGCCCCCTCGGCCCAACGCCCTCAAGGGCCGCACCCGCCTTCCCGCCGCCATTCAAACGGCGCCGGAAGCGGAACGGCTGTGGCGGGCCCGGCCCCGCCCCGCGCGCAGGCGCCCGCCTGAGGGGCCGCCGCACGCGCGGCGGGGGGCGGCGCGGGGCTGAGGGGCGGTGCCTTCGGCGGGGCGGGGCCCTGCGGCCCGGGGGCGCCGCCGGGGGGGGGGGGGTGGGGTGTCTCCCGCCTCGTGACGCCTTTGCCCGCCTTCGGCGCTCGCGGGCCGGTTCGAAGCGGGTTAGGCACTGCCGGGAGGTTTTCACTGTAAGAGACGAGTTCCTCAGTCCCGGGCCCAAGGGGTGGGCTGACCGGGACCTGTCTGGGTTCACCCAACGTGATTTATTTTTTTTTCTACCAGCTACTTTGGCTACACTACAAAAAAAAAAAAAACAAAAAACAAAAAACAAACAAAAAACCCCCCACACAACACAAAACACCACCACCACCCCAAAAAAAACAAACAAACCAACCAAAAAAACAGCAGGCCCCACACCTATGTTTTCTTCTGTCCCTTGCACGGGCTCTGAACTGGTGCTGTGCAAAGGTGTCATTATATAAACAAGGCAAGACAGTAGTTGCCTCTATAACTTCCTACTTACCGATAAAAAACAAGAAACTCATTCAAAACATACAGAAAAATATAACTTGCTAGAATAGTGCCAAAAGAAGTAGAATACAGATCAAAAACTGTCTAATTTGGTATCTCTGGCATTCAGTTACTCATCAGCTGTTAACAGGAGAATTAGACATTTGTCAGAAGTCTTACTAGTGGGCAGGGCCCTTTTCATGCCCCGTATCTTCATCCACAGCTAAGGGTGTTCTTTTGCCAAGAAAGATTTGACCAAATGATCCTTGAGGTCCCTTCTAACCTGGTTTCTATGATTCCAAAGATCATCTGCTGCTGCCACCCCACCTCCCTTTGTCCAATCAAATAAACTAAGATGCAGTAAAATACCACTTCAGGATTAACGGGGTAAATTCTCCTTATACTTTCCTTTGCTGGCTGTAGCACCCAGTCCCTGAGCAGTCCCTAAGCCCAGGTAACAAGCAGCAGTACAGACTGCAGTGCAATTTTGTTTCTGTAGTGATAACGAGCTCTTCAAGAAAGCTTTCTTTGATGGGATGTGTTAAAAACCACAAACTTTCAATCTGGCTCTCATCTCTTAGCCAGCTCCATGAGGACAAGGGTGGTGACACTTTGTCATTCCAAGCAGCATATTCAATATCATATTCAAATATGTGCGTAAGTGACAAACATTTGGTTTACAGTTTTTCCAGTAGGGAAGAAATGTATAAAGGAGCATACAAAAATGGACTCAAAAGGAGAAAGTCTACCCTGGCTAAGAGCAGAAGTATGCTTATTATTTCACAACATCATCATCTTTGTTAACACTGGGCTCTAAACATGGGTTGGTGATGCTCCATATACCCTGGTCTGATAAAACCACCTCTGAAGTCTTTCATAGCATACTGCTTATTAAAGCCAGATGCACAGTGTAAGTGGGAAGGGGACAAATGATGACAACTCAGGAAGGACAGCCACTACCACCCAAAAGCAGCATAAGAGTTTAAGAAAACTCCAGATTTTACTCAAAAGTTACGATAAGAACACTACCTAGCTGTCAGAAACCATACTGAAGACAAAAATAGTTTGTTTTGAACACTGATGGAGCAAGTTACATACAACATCATCCCTTTCTTACAGAGATTGGACAAAAACTTACACATAAATACCAGACCAAAGCAGAAAGTTACCTTCCAAAAGTAAGGTGTCAACAACCAGCATTTATCCTAGTTAATATGCTAGTAGCAGTGGAGTTTTACAGCTTGTCAGCTACCAAGTTACACCTGGTCTTGTTAGTCAGCAGCATCCTTCCTTGATAAACAAACACTTCACTGAGTTGAAATGCAGAAATATTTATTTTGGTTTCCTTCATTGGTTTTGAAAATTGTTTTGGTTTTATAAAACATAGAAATAGCCAACACTAAGCAAATATTGGAATTCCAATGTAACAAACTACTGCTCTAACAGTTGACTTGGATTTGTGTACCTTAATTGCACACATGTATGAAATTATGCTACAGAGTAGTGCATTACAGTTACACACAAATCTTAGTGCAAACCTTGTTGTGCTTGTATTTTACATATATCCATGTTTTCAAAAAACAGCAATGAATGCTAATGCAAAACCAACTCTCTCAAGGATAGCAAAAGACTTATGCTCTAATAAGGCTTATTTCTGCTGATTTCTCAAACAAAATGTAACTGGTTATTTTGTAGTTTATCTGGGAATTAGGTTTTTATCCCTGAACAAATACCTATCCTGTGCCAACACCGTTCTGTTGGCATATATAAATACTTCCAATTGCTGCAAAGCATCAGGCAAAAACATTCTACCTGACCTATCTTGCCATTCAGTGAAGAATACTCAGTGGCTCATACATAAAGCACAGAAAACTGAGAGGTTGTCAGAAGCTCTTCTGCTTACAGAGGACCTGGCACATTTTTAAAAATGCATTTTAAATACACATTCATTACAGGAAAACAAGTGGCTAGCACAGGTGCAACGTACACCTGACTTAGCATAGCCCAGCCTCCTGAATGGTTTTTAGGTCTCTAGTGTTCTTGCCAGAGTTAGGATCTGTTCATTTACGGGGCTGGCACCACTCTGGAATTGTGTTAATGTAGCAAAGGCCACACTTGCTGAATTAACTGCATCCACACCTTCTGCAGAACCACCTTACACAGCCTTACTCTGAGGAACCTGGTTTCATCAGTCTCCTCTGTGTGGAGTTCTGATTTCTACCTTATAAAAGTACATCTCTGAACTGGCTGCAAATATAGAAGGGAGAGAAAACACTAAGATGCCTTGCCGCAGTTAATATTAGGACTAATGCAAGATGTCATACCAGCTATACAACTGTAAGGGTTCGGTTGTTTTTTCTTGTGGTTGGTTGGTTTGTTTTTTTGAACAGATTAAGTAATCATTCTGAAGATGCAAGATACTTAGAGGCATTTTCAAACCTGCCAAATCCTTTGTGGAATTGACAACTGCAAAATACACTGCAGACAGCAAACATGCTGACAATAAGAAAACCTTAGCTCCTTGGTGAAGCAGAGTCCCATTTTTGGCCAAGGAAGTCTTAAATAACTTACATATAGTTACCATTTATAGTTAAGGCTCTTTTTGGAAATTGTAGGTCACCATAAAAACAGTATGCAACACAACTTTGACAGTAAGGCAGTGTTCCATTTCTCCAATGTTCCTATGGCAAGTACCCATTTTTGTACAAGTTAATGATTGCACAGTTTCCTTCCCTATGTTTGCTGTAGTCAAATTACAGATATGAAGGCCAACAGTAGACATGAGACATGTGCCACTTTCCTCATTCCATTCTCAGTTACATCTTGGCATTAGCATAGAGTTCATCTATCTGTGACTGGAAATACTTCCGCAGTTCTGGTCTCTTCGCCTTCAGTGTTGGTGTCAGCAGCCCATTTTCAATAGAAAACATTTCAGTGTGCATGACAATGTCTTTGACCTGGAAAGTAAACAGTTACTAGACAAGCTGAACTCCTCAAAATAGACAAGGCTATTAAAAAAAAAAAAAAAAAAGATTTTCCAAGGCATCATAAAGCCTGTCACTTAAATTTTCCAGATGCAAACTGAAAACAGTTTCTGGAGAGTCAGATTACATTCGTGTTGAGAACTTTAAAGAATTAGGTGTTTGGTTCTCACAAGCATCTTACCTGTTCAAATGACTTTAAACCAGATTCTTTCCCAATCCTCACCATGTCTTCCAGAATGTGTTTTTTGAGGTCCTGTGGATACAGAAATACACTGTATAGCTGTTCTGCATCAGCTTTTTCAAGCTAACTGTTTAGTTAGATAGGACTCACCTTGTTTTTGCATAGCTCTTCATAAGAGCCTTCAAATCCCTTTTTCTTGGCCCAGTTGCGCAAAGTCTCAGGATCAGGTACCACAATAGCTACTAAGAAGGCCTAAAAAGGAAGTTTTGTTAAGCTTTTTTTTGTCCCTCTTTTGAAAGTCAACACTTTAGTTCCACACATTTCTTACTAGTCAGTGTTAGGTTTTGGACAGCATTTCTGATCCTGCTGTAAAGTCAGCAGCTTTCTGCAACTTGAAGACACGAGTGCAGTTCAGAAGCTTACACTTCATTACTCTTGTTAAGACTCACATTTCAATTTACACTTTCAAAAACCTGGACATCTTGGGTTTGGGTGTTTTTTTTTTATTTTGCCTGCACACTGTTAGCAGCTTCTATACAGTCATTAATACTCAATTAAATGAATTCAGCTCCACTACCTGGTCTGAAACTAAATCTAGCAACATGCTACATAACGGCAGGAGTCAAAAGTACATTCAGAACCAAAGTGTGTAGCATTAAAAAATTTTTACGATGTGAGTCCCGAAGTTTGGGGAAGGGGGGAAGGAGAAAAACAAGACACTTTTCTGCAGGTCCCTCTTGCATTAATTTTTAAGGTTATCTGAAGAATGCTTACCTGCAAACTCTCTCCATGGACAAACACCTGAGCAAGTGCTTCACATCTCAGATACACATTTTCTATTTTCTCTGGTGCTATGTACTCTCCCTGGGCTAGTTTAAATATGTGTTTTTTCCGGTCAATGATCTTCAATGTACCATTCTGTTGACAGAAATAACTTCCACTCAGAAGAGGCACTTCAAGTGAAAAACCAATCTACACAGCTTAAGCATGCCACAATGGTACAGTAAAACAGTGCTAGAGCCAGAGTAATGTGTTAGAAAAAAACATGTTCTGCACCCATGTAACCTAAACTAGGGAAAGCCCCAGGATTGGCACTGCTAATAGGTTGTTTTTTTTTTTTTTTTTTTTTTTTTTAGCCCAAGGCACACAGATTTATCTACAACAGTAATTATCCTCCTCCTAAAATTACCTGTCTTTCACTTAATTGTGTTTAATACCAAATATTT